TCTCTCTCTCTCTCTCTCTCTCTCTCTCTCTCTCTCTCTCTCTCTCTCTCTCTCTGTTCCTTCATCTGTCCTCTTTATCAATCTCTGCTCATCTATCCGACACGTCGTCATGTCATTCTACCTCAAGCACAGGAACTTCAAGGTGAGTGCCACAGATGATACCTAGGAAGCTGAACACAATAACCTCGTTCACAGGTTATGGCCTCTATCTTCAAAATTAGCACAGGAGACCGTCATAGTATCCGCTGGGAGGACTTTGTGCACGTACGTGGAGCTAAGGCATCTTTCTATTAGCTTTTATTGATTACTTTGGGCACGTACAGACCATGAGTGCGTTGGGATTCCGATACTCCACCAATAAGGGCTCCCAACGAACCTTCAAGCCGCGTCGCTCGGAGCTCAAGCCCAACTTCAGGTGCCACGAGGTAAGCTTGAGCCCGCCGTATGTGCTCTTGCTCTGAGGTTGTCAAATATTCAAGGAGCGGCAACTCGACGCATACCGTCAAGACGTGTGAGTAGTAGTGATCGGGCGCGGCGGTGCTTGATACTGACGCTTTTGGAGCAGCATTGCTCCGAAATTGACCGCGCACTTCGGCTGGACGGCCAGTTCTTTCAAGTTGAAGCAGTGAGGGCGACAGACGTCTGTACATATAGCTACTTGTCTTGATTTTGAATGAAAGTGGGGGTGGCGATGCACGTAAGTCGCAAATCCCGAGAACATCGGACGAACGCACACGAACTGCGATCGTCGTCGATCGATCAGTCTACCAGTGGCCCTGGCAGAGCTTATAGCACGTGTCGCTTATAAACATAGCAAGGCAGGCACCGCGTGCGTATACGCATGATGAACTCATATATTGAACGTGCTACAAACATGGGTAAGGTATCTGTAACGTAGAGCGCGAGATAACGGCGGACTAGACTGACAGCGCACGAGAGTAATCGTCGCGCAGCGAAGAGGCGAGGCGGGGCAAAGTCGAGGACAGCAGAGCACAAACAGGAGGATGGCGGCGAGAGGAGAGGACGAGGATGGGGAAAGTCGGCGGCCGGGCTCGAAGGCACTGACGCCGACGGCCAGCGGGTAGGTGGAGAGCGTGGCGCATCGTGTGGAGTCGGAGGTCGCAGGCGGGTCTGGGTGAGCGTGAGGGCGAGGCTAGCGGAGAGGAGAACGGCGAGAGGAGAGAGGTCGGCGGCCGCGCGTCGAAGCCAGCGTCGCCGACGCCGAGCGCGTCGAGCATTGCGCGTGGTGTGGAGTCGGAGATCGCAGGCGGGTCTGGTTGAGCGCGAGGGCGAGGACGGCGAGGGCGAGAAGGACGAGAGGAGACTCGACCTCGCCGACGGCGAGCGCGACGTCGGGGACGGGCCGGCCGGCCTAGGGACTTGGGGATGGCCGGGGCGGTGTCGGGTGTCGGGTGTCGAAGGCGGGAGTGGCAGAGCGGAAGCACCACGACGGCGTGGGCGAGAAGGACGAGGGGAGAGGGCGGGGATGAGGGAGGTCCGCGGCCGGGCGTCGAAGTCACCGTCGCCGACGCCGAGCGCGTAGAGCGTCGCGCGTCGCGTGGGAAAGGGCGGGGCGTGGTTGGGAGTCTGGCGTCGAAGGCGGGGGTGGCAGAGCGGAAGCACCACGACGGCGTGGGCGAGAAGGACGAGGGGAGAGGGCGGGGATGAGGGAGGTCCGCGGCCGGGCGTCAAAGTCACCGTCGCCGACGCCGAGCGCGTGGCGCGTGGCGCGTGGTGTGTCGCAGGCGGGCCTGGATAAGCGCGAGGGCGAGGCTGGCGCAGAGGAGAACGGCGAGAGGTGGGAGCTGGCAGCCGGCCGTCGAACTCGACCTCGCCGACGGCGAGCGCGACGTCGGGGACGGGCCGGCCGGCCTAGGGACTTGGGGATGGCCGGGGCGGTGTCGGGTGTCGGGTGTCGAAGGCGGGGGTGGCAGAGTGGAAGCACCACGACGGCGTGGGCGAGAAGGACGAGAGCAGAGGGCGGGATGAGGGAGATCGGCGGCCGGGCGTCAAAGGGACCGTCGCCGACGCCGAGCGCGTAGAGCGTCGCGCGTCGCGTGGGGAAGGGCGGGGCGGTGTTGGCATGGGGAAGAATGGTTGGGGAGGAGGGGCCGGGGGTCGGGTGTCGAAGCCGTCGGTGAGGGGGGCGATGCTGAAGGCTGCCCGAAGTCGGATGTCGGGCGCCGGGCGTCGAGCCTAGGATGTGCGAGCGCGAGAACGTGGAAGAAAGCGTGGAGAAGGTCGGATACGGCAAGGGCGAGGACGAAAGGGGGGTTGTCGCGCGTACTTACCTCGATTAGACACGGACGCTTCGCGCTGCCACCGCGCCGCCTTGTTTGGCTGGTTACCCGCCGCCCTCAACCCTCTCCTGGAACGAACAGTCCGAGTGCGGGGACGCGTTCGCGAAACGGTGCGCTGATATCCGCTGAGCTGTTTAGAGCTGACAACCTGGGATTGGTAAGACACCCGATGAGAGCTGAAGGTAAAGCGACTGACCAGCCGCCCAGCTTGTCCAGAGGCATTGGATGTGTCCGAGAGGCAGGGACAGGCGGGGCACAATCTGTGTAGTCGGTCCGTTAGGATGGGCGTAAATCAGGACGGGGTATTCATTACTCACCCCCTCCTGCTCACTACGGGGCCTTACTTCGCTGTCTAATCGTCGGCGTTCAGGGAGACGGAGCCAAAGAGAATGCACGCATGGAAAGCGAGAAAAGCTGGGACGTCGACGACAGCAGCCGTCGAGAGTGTATCCGCGTCGGGCGACGGGTAAGAAGGGAGTAAGAAGGGAGGAGGAAAGGTGATGTCGACACGCTCGAGTGCGACGCGCCGGAGGAGGCCGAGGCGAACGCTACAACGCGCGCGAACTCTAAACAGGCGCCTAATCTCGTTCGGAACGTGTTTAGGTACAACCTCCAGGTCTGCTTACACCAAGCTCGCCCCGATCGCGAGCGTGTGTTTCTGGCTTTGGAGTCCTCCGGCTCTGTCCTGTGCGTCTTCGGACAGGTTCCGCCTGCCGTTTGCCCGTGCTCTGTCGGCGCACTCTGACTTCTCGTACACACACTCGCCATACTTGTCCCGGACTAAGGAGCCCGGCAACGCGTGCCCCTGCCGCGAGTGCGTACGCCCATTATCGCGTGAGTCCCGTCGTTACATCTGATGGAGGATCGTTAGTATCAAGCCTTGGCGCAGTTGCATCTTTGCAAAAAAGATGCAACTGCTCTGTTCGGCGCTTAGAACGCCGCGCAGCTGTATTAGGCGCCCGTAGGAAAAGTTGCAACTTCTTGCGCCCTATTTGGCGTAGAAGTTGCAACTCCTGATGTATAGGGCTCTATAAGCCTGTTCGCCGCCGCCGCCGCACTGTGCACACCTGCACGCCTCACCATCCGAGTGGCGAGGATCCGGACTTCGGGAGGCAAGGCCGTTGGCAACTTATCCACGCTCCAGTCGCATAGCAAAGTCACAGCAATGATTAAACACGACGTCCATAGTGTCCGTAGGAGCTTTGTAAACTGCTTACGACGAAGCCCGAAGGTCGACTCGGACTGCCGCTGGAAAAGAATGGGGCGCCGTGTGGCGTGACCACAGTGCGTGCTTCAAGGGTTACACCGGTAACATTACCTTTGTTCGGCCTTGTTCAAACTCGACCTCTCGGTTGCTCCACCTGAAACAATATTTGCGGAGTAAGCTTATGTGGAGAGTGCGTCAAGGGCGAATGCCGCCGTCACCAACCAGCGTTGTATATACTGCCTTCATTCCGTAAGTGGGCACGGCTGCAAATACGCATGCTGTTGACGTACCAGTAGTACGCGCATTTGTTTCAACCCTTCTTGCTCTGCGTATACGGCATCCACTGAACTCGTGAGACCAGTGCAGTGACGGGCCCACCGGTTGCATCCTAGCATGCCAGGTATTAGCACTGAGTTAAGGAGGCGATCACTACTCTTGCACTATCGGCACCGTTTAACGGTTACTTATACTGACTGGAACTTGAGAGGAGTCAACGCTTGGCAGGCCGAGAGGCCAGCGCCTGTCCTTCCACGTTATTGCGGCCACGCGAGGAACTTATCTGAGATCTAACAAATCGCTCCCAAGTTTCTCGCGAGTAATTTGTCTCCTGCACTCACTTGCCACTTCCCATATGCATACGCGCGGGTCTGCGCGATCTCTTGTCCATGAATTTAAGGGAAGCGCGGTTCGTAGAGCATCCTCAGGTGGCTTACGTGTGGACAGTCTTGGGATCACCGCCGCCATGACTCCGAGTCAGATACATACGCCGGGGTTCCCGAGCCCCTTCACTATGTTTCGGGAATAGCAGCGTAACATGGCCTTTCAGCCTCAGTTGCCTATGGCGATACAGGTGGGCATGATGCATACCATCATCGTTGCCCCGCGATCTGACGTCCAACAGATCTCCTGGCTCTAGTACTCTATCGCCCGAAGAATCGGACTTCTCTGCCAGCCTGTCTTCCTACGATGCACACCGAGAGCCCGCTTTAAATGACAATGTGCTTTCCACAGCACGGGGAACTTATGCTTACGCCCCCATATCCCTGCTGAACTTCCGCTCTTTCGACAATGTTTATCACCCTCAAGTATCGCAGCACACTCACATTCCTTCTCGCTCTCTCATGCAGCTGCACTACGGTTCTTGGGGCTACGCAGAAAGTGGACAACACAAGTCCTCTGATTCAGTATCAAGGTTCTTGGACACCATTCAACACGCCGGGAGATGGGGATGTCGAAGACACACTCGAGTTCTCACAAGACAATTTGGACAGTGCAATCCTGCACTTCACAGGTGTGCCCGTCTTGCCACTGCCACCTGCCTATGTATCCCCCACATGTGGCCAGATCTGTTTTCAACGCTAACGACAAGTCAGGTACATCTGTCGCTGTCTTCGGTGCCCTGAAGCCGGTTGGAACGTGGAACATGCACTCCGCGTACTATCTGGATGGCTCTCCTGTGGTGGGTTTTACTCCGAACCCGCAGGTCGATTCGGAACAGCATCAAGTAAAATTCTACTCCTCGGGATCGCTGAGCGACGGACCGCATACTCTTACAATTGTCAACATGGGCCAGCAGTTTTGGTTCGACTTCATTGCGCTCGAGACGTCCGATTCGACGACAGCTACGGTCACCGCACCGACTCTACCCCCAGGCATAATGACACTTCCGATCTCAACGTCCTCAACGCTGCCTACCACATCCTCCACTAATCCTGTCCCAACTACGTCCCCAGTTCGGCCCCAGCCTACATCGACTAGCACTAGCCCGATCACTTCGGTTATCTCCACGCTTGCCAACCAATTTGTTCCCGCCCACGCCACGCCTCCCAGTACATCGTCGCTTCTCGGAACATCGACTGTTTCACCCAACTCGACAGGGACAGTCAGGGCCTGGTCGGCTGCCAGTGACTAACTAGTCACTAGTGAGAGGTTTAAAGCCCGAGATCACCGGGGAGTCGGCGATCGGGAGTGGTTAACGGAGGCGCCTTGGTCACAGTCGGGTCACGCCAGCCCGCCGCGCTCATCCGCGCGCGTGCTGGAGGGACTCGCGCGACAGGTAAGGCGCGCACGTAGCGGAAACATAAACCGTCGAGCGCCGACGACCTGTTGGTCAAATCTCCTGCGCGAGTACATGAATGATATTATAAAACACAGAATTAGTGCGCGATAGGTCAAAGTATAGACGCGATGAGCTTTTAGAGAGGGTAAGCTGATACCCAGGATTTCAGCTTCACTCCCATCGCGCGATCTAGAAAGGGTCAGCATATCTTTGGAACTCTTTGTAAAAGCAGAAAATAGCTACACATATTATTCTCGGCTTACGCGCGAGCTAGCACAAAACTCTCAAATGCCCGGAGGCTCGATTAGTAGTCGGCGCGCATGCTCTATCGGAGTCTATCAGATACGCGCGACGCTATGCGGCTCGAAAGTTTGGCGCGAGATGTTTAAATTCATCTGTTATACTATATTAAGCATCCTGCATTTGTACGAGCCCTCGCGGTTGGAACGAGAGCTATACGACGGGGAAGAACGTCCCTGAAGCTCTCAGTGGACGTGCAGCGCGAGTGACGCCTAGGCGCTCGGAAGTGACACGCTGGCGCCCGCGGTCGTGCGCTGCCGACCGGTCCTCCCGATCACGACTGGGCTTTTCAGTCGGATCACGACTACTTGTCACTAGTGACTGATTTTTGGCGGGGAGTGACTAGCTAGTCACTGGCAGCCGACCAGGCCCTCAGCAATCACACTGGGAACTCCACCTCTACGAGCACATCAACTCAATCAAACTCGACTCCAGTGCCGCCAAACCCTCCATCAGACCTTTCGAGTCCTGCAGCCACATCCTCCCTTCCGTCACTCTCTACATTTACACAGTCTTCTGTGGCTCCCACTGCGAGCCCAGTCACAGCGAGCAGACACGCTCTGCCCGTCGGCGAGATAATAGGCATCGCTGTGGGAGGAACAGCGCTCATCCTCGCGCTTGCATTCCTGTACTTCGCGCTCTGGCGGCGCCGTCAGCGCATGGCAGCGCGTGCTACAATCTCTCCCTTCGGTAGGACCCCCATCTCCGCCGATTCTACTCGCACACTAACGGCATGCAGTCCCAGAGCACGAGGACGGCGTAAACCTGGACGGCACGCCGCCGCCACCGCCCCCTCCCAACTACTGGACGTCGGAGAAAGGCAGTATGGTCGATCGCGCGCGGCTCAGCCTCCCCCTACAGGTTCCCGCGCGGCAGATGCTGGTCATCACGCACGGCAACCACCCCGGCGGCGTGTGGGCGGACTACCAGTCGTCGATGCCGAGCGCGTCCGGGTACCACGAGTCGGAGTCGAGCGACGGTGGAGGCGACGCGAAGGCTTTACGGGAGTACGTGGCGCGGTACGGGCGGCGGCGGTCCGCGGCTGTGGGCCTCGTGGGGGTGAAACGTGGAACGCCGTTCTGAGGTGTGTGGGTTGGCGATTCGATGCTGGAGAGCGTCTTGGCCGAGGCGACAGGTTTCGTGAGGAATCGGAACGTCTATGTATGCAGCAGTCATGTTGGACTGTTTACACGCTCTCTAATAGCTAATCTCCGTAGGGGTGCCTTCGCCTGGACAAAAGCAGCACGATGAAATGAGTTCAGGGTGTATTTACGACATAAATATCAAATACGTACCTGTCGACGCAGTGATCTGGTCAATTCGCGATTGCATGTCCGCCATCCGCGCCAATATCGTAGCAACTTGGGTTCGCAATGCTTCGTTTTCGCTCCGCATTGCATCTATAGTAGCCTGCATGTATGAACACGGGTTTGTCGCCTCGAGCATTCCCTGGGGATTGTTGTGAGATGCTATGCACGATGGAGGCGAACCTTGAGCTAGGGACGTTGGGTTTGATTGGCTCGGTATTTCATCCTCGGCCTCACCGGAAGCGGGACAGGTTTTGACGCAGACCTGGTGACCTTTTACCGACGCGCGAGATATCTGTGTGTGTCAGTTTGAGCGATGCGTCCACTGATGCATTTCCATGCTAGGTCATATGAACTCGAACTCACTGGTGTGACTTTCGGTGGAGACGACTTGGACTGATTGGTGCCGGTCCGGCCACTTTCGGGAAATCTATACAGAGGCAGTTGGCGAGAATGAGTTCCACCGGCATTGAGCTTGTCGGCAGACCGACGTACGTTTGCGATATATCGACCGATAACCACAGGTTAGTGCGGTCAGCGATTTCCGCACTCGATAGGGGACGCTCGAGTTTGACTAGCAAGAGTTTGTAGGCGGGAGCGTCGTCCGTAGCGCCCATTCGCAGCGGCGAAGGCATGATAAACTCGGCATGAGTAACTACGCGTTGGGCTGTTTCCAAGTGCGAGAAGTGTGATGTCACGCTTGTAGAGGGCCCGGCTTGGTTGGTGAGACGACTGCGGTGAACGTCGGCATAGAGAGCTTGTAAGCCACCGCTAGGATCCATGCCATCACAGTCGGGCTCGTGGCAGCGTGGTATGGTGCTTTCGGCAGAGAAACACGCCCTTGTATCCAGCCCAGCGTCGAGTTTGCTCAGACACGTGAGGGAAATTTGAAGCCTGATGGTATGCTGCGACCCGGCCAGAGGTTAGGGACGCCACTATAGTAATCTCGTCCTGTGAGCGTGTGCATAGCAGGGGGAAGAAGGTGAACCCGGAGGCACAGAGCCTGTGGAGGGAGATAGGAGAGTATTGGATAGCGATCCCGTCCGCGCGGTCTCCAGGCCATAAATTGAGCTCCCTTGCCAGAGAGAATGTTGCATAAAGCGACTTGAACGTCACCTTCGTGGTGTCCAACTTCTTGCCCTTGTGCTGGCGCATTCGGCGAGAGAGCTCGACCGGCGCCGGCGAGACATAGGGCAACATCTCCATGAGCGCTTCCTTCGTTGAACGCACGACGCGAAACGGGTAGTGCCAGGCCGCTTTGCACATCTCGTGGACCGCAATGTCCATGCCAGACTCGTCTTGAGGCTCCTGTAGCGTTGGTCGGCACAGCGGAAGGGCGAGGGAGCCGGCCGCATCTTCGCACCGCAAAAGTCAGAGCGCATGGGCGTGGCCAAGCCGCATACACTCGTTGCACTGTTCCTTGTTCCGAAGCGCCCAAAACGTGTCGAAGACATGGGGTATTGGAGTTAGATCGACACAGAGCAGTTGGACGCGGGTGCCTTGCGGAGTGAAGACACAGTGCAACGGCGGTACGTCCTCCGGTCGCCTGTGGAGGCGGGATGCAAAGTCCTCAATCGCTAGCGGGGTGACGTCTCGCGCAGGAGCGAAGCCAAAGGGTGCCTCTGCAAAAAAGGCGAACGTGCTCGTCCACCGCTCCCCGGGCGTGCCCTCACGTGAAGAACAAAGGGTGCAGCTCTCTCCCCATGCGAAGATACTCTGATCGGGGATGCCGTTGACGATCTCCTTTTGGAGCCGGAGGAACGCGTTGGACTCTTCGCCGTAGATCGGAGGCATGTTGACACAGAAGAGCCCCCTCAGGCAGTACGCCTGGTCTTCGACGTGCGTTGTATCTCGGCGCGCTGCCCACCACATCCTCCTCGCGATACTGATGGTGTCCATCAGCACGGCTCAAAACGCGCGGATGAACTTTATTACCCCCCGTCCTACTCGTTGTCACTTGCTCTTCAAGGGCTGGACACATACAGGTCATGCATCATGGCCGGATCCATCCCCTTGAAGCTGCACACGAATCCAGACTGGTGCCCACACAGTCCGCGCAGTTGTTATAATCAAAGCTCCGGACGATAGGCCAGACTACGCTCAGCGAACCTGAGACCTATCGAGAAGTTAAGATTAGATGTCGATTCATATACAGATTGACCCGAACGCACCGTAATCAACATCTTTACAGACGAAGGAACTTCATGGGAGGCAGTACCCTATTCATTCAAGGATAGGGCGTATGCAAGCCCGACTAAGTCTGTTGACTATCTGCGTTATCTTTAGTGTCGCGTGGGGTGTGGGGTGCGGAGATTGCGTATGAGGCAAGGCCCATGAGCTGTGCATGAATGATGCTATGCTCAGTCCGTATGTTGACTTGCACTGCAGCGGAGCCGCCGCTATCTAGCTCAGAATTAGCGCCTACGGTACCGCAACGGACACTTGTGGGAGCGGCGTCTCTCACGTTTAGAGTGATGCCACAGCACTATTACGGCTGCCACAAATTCACAAGCGTATCGCCCTAGTCCTTTGAGCCTTCGTGGGGGTGTACGACCCTCCGATACGCTTCGAACGCTCCGGAAGTCCTCGGATAGCGGAAGCGCCGAAGTGTGAACGTCCTTGATGCGAAGCGGTGACTCGAGGAGAGGGATCTTGAGTCACCGACGCGGTTGAGCGGTGACATGGTGAAACTACCACAGCACGTCTGCCGCAACCGCCTCGCATCATGACTCAAGCGCTGCAGCCCTAGCTGCTATAAATGAGTGATGCTCGCCCAGAGCAGGATACACCACTCACCACTCTCACCGCGACTCAGCGGCCACTCCCACTACACCCCCGCGCACATACCCATCGTACCACCACCATTTCTTACCCTCCCATCATGCCTTCCCGCACTAAGAAGCAAGCGAAGCAGATCGTTGTGCGCACCGTCGAGCCCGGCACCCGTCGCTCCACTAAAGCTGTATTCGGAACGCTCACCGAGCTCAACAACCACAAGCCTCTCGTGAGTCCTCCCCTGACCCCGCACGTCGGCTACCGCCCTCTCCCCCCCACAACCCCGCCTCCCTCTCTCCCGCCTCTCCGCATAAGGTCAACATCGGGCGCTGAGCTGATGTCGCTCCCTTGCAAACCCAGGCCGAGCTCGACCCGGTAGACTGGATGTTCGCGCCACCGAAGCCGTGGAAGCAGCCGAAGTCGGTCCCCGCGTCGTGCAGGCCGCAGGCGCCCCGCCGGAACCCCGGCAGACACCACGCGCAGACGTGGAAGTCGGGCCAGGTCGTGTGCGGGAACGCGCTCGTCGCGGTAGAGGACGACGGCGAGAGCGATGCCGCCTGGCGGATGGACGTCGAGCGCGAATGGCGGCGGGAGGAGTACGAGTGGGCTGCCGAGGAAGACGCCTGGGGACATGAGCGAACAGAAGTCCAGCTCATGGATATCGCGAGGCCGATGAAACCCAAAGGTTCGTGGTTTGGGGACCTGCTCGACTTTCGCTAAAACGAAGCGCCATTCTAGGCATCTCGAGGGAGTTTGAGGTCGTCGAGACCGTACGGAGGGTGATCGCACTCGAGGAGGATCAGGCACCAGCGTTGACCGGCCGGACAGGGCTCGACCCCGAGCTAGACGAGTGGGAGGTGCTAGAGCAGGAAGACAGCCGGCAGCCCCTCGAGTCGTACGCCGAGTTGGTGCAGCTAAGCCATCGCTGAGACCAGGAGTAATGGATGTCAGGCAGCACGTACATAGGGCATGACTCGGGACTTACTGGCATACGTATCGCATGACGCATTAATTTGGATACCAACGTCAGCTATGCCCTTAAGGGTGACAGCTGAACTATAGATGTTTTGCATATTGGTATCTTGTATGAACTTCTGTTGGTTGATCATAAGAGAAAGTAGACGCCGCGTCCGTGTCGAAGTAGAAAACATGGCGCCCGAACCTATAGCTGTTAGCTCGTTGCAGATAGTCTCCGCTAGACGAACTTCAACAGCCTCGCGGCTCCGTTTTGCGGACAAATGCCCATATCTCCCGCATATCTCGGACTATCGCGGGTAGCAATGCGCGGAATAGCATGATCTGACCTACTGAAAGGGATCAGTGAGGTGACGACGCAGAACCGGTCGGAGACAGCACCCACCATAGATGCAACAAAAAGGGAGCTTCATGATTGTTCAATCGAACACGCCGATTAGACGTCCTGCACGAAGGGCGATACCGATCCAGGAAGAGCGACACCGACCAATATAATACCCAGGCGAAAAATACGCTTCACCCGAAAAAATGGTGTGTACTGCAATCCCTTGCGGAATGGTAGGCATGTCTTGTCCCGACTCGAAGCGCGCTAAGCGAGCACAAGCTTGAACACGCTGCGTGGCTTTGCTTTCGAGATCTTCCTTGCATTTCGGCGGAGAGGAAACCTGCTGATGGGCAAGACAAGAAAGACGTGTTTAGTTTAAAACACGTTGTTGTTATCTGTCCTAATCAGGTGGCTCTCTTTCGACCATCTGAGAGCACCCGTAGTCCTGAAGGAAGCCTGCGAAAGAAATGGCCAATCCGAGCGATAGTACAGAGATATTATACTGGTTATGAAGATGAGGAGAGCGAATACAAACGTAAGGAAAAAAAGAGGTACCGAGAGGAAGAAATGAAAATGGTGAGAAAACGGAGTAGATAAATCAAGCACGAGTGAAACTGAGCACCACGGCGTAAACATACTTCAACTTCCATCCGGACGTCGTTAGTTTCATCGTGCAGTTACTTCGGCGGAGGTGTCGGTGGTCCTGAACATATACATGTCTGTCAGAGCTAGTCCAGCCAAATTAGAACGGTACGTACCGAAGAGACCGGAGCGAGCCATACTGCCGCCGTGATCGGAGGGAAGTGGCGCGGAGGGAGAGCCAGCGACGGGCACCGGGGACAGCAAAGGGTTCGCTGCACCAGCATAGACGTTAACAGAGACATCGTCAGAATGCATGTTGGACATACGCTTCCACTGCGCCCAGGCGGGCAAGGTCATAGGCTCTGGAGCAGCGATCGCAGGCGGTGGGGGTGGTGCTGCAATAGCTTTGGCCTTCGGTTTCTGACGTCGCTCCTCGCGCTTGTGCACTGTGCGCCACGCAGGACGAGCAGGCATCGAGTCGTCAATGATTTCTGAGTCTACGGGAGGGGCAGCAATAGCGGGTGGTGGTGCTTCTTCGTGCTGTGTACAACGTCTCGTTTCATGATCTTAGGTAAACGAACCGCACTCAACGCACCTTGGGAGCCCAGTCTGGCGTATATTCACCCCCTGCGCCGTGCTTGGACTTCACCGCCATGAGCTCCGCGATCTCGCTGGAGGCGGTAGCGAGGACATCAGACCGGCCATTTCCGTGCCGCGCACAAAGCAAGGAGAAACGTACTACTGCAGCTGCCGCCGCTCATCCCTAAGTTTGCCAACCTCAGCGAGGAGGATGCGAACCTCGCTTGCGAGGGCTTTGCTGAAGTCATTCAAATACCTGCGGAAGCAGACCGCGCTCGGTGATCGCCCGTCCGCCGCAGAGCCGTGCAAGATGCGTACTTTGGAGGAGCTCCGTAGTTTCCTTTCTGCGACATGGCCGATCGTGGAATGCAGTAGGTTCGTAGTCAAATAGAGCGCAGGTTCGTGCAGGAAGGAGGGCTGGGTGCAGGGCGATAGTGTTCCGTGAAGGCGGGAGGCAAGCGGCGGCCTTTGTAGTCGGCGCCTATGTCATCCACGGACGAACAGGACCGCAGCCACGAGGCCTCCTGCTGCACGCTGCACTGCAGTGCAGCGCCCACAACGTTCGAAATTAATTCTCGCTCTTTCACATGCGCATCTTGTGCGATTACCACGGTGACCTCGCGACGACACGACAATACGGCCGAGCAAATACGGCAGAGCCCGCTACCGTCAGGCTATGATGGTCATACAGTAACGCAGTGTATGTAATGTCAAGTAACGATTTACACCTGCCGTCGGTACATGTGTACGTCAGCCTGAGGATCATCTATGGGACGAGCCTGAGGGCTTCTATCTCTATAGCATTTTCGGCTTCGTAATGTGTCGGGATTTTCTAATAGGGTCATCAACAAGGATAGTACAGCGGAGTGGGATAGCGGAAGCAAGATCCACCACGACGAAGCCAAGTCTCTCGAAAGCCATGTTGCGAGTATGTACGACACAAGTCAGAGGAGCCTGACCGTGTACAGAGAGGCGACTGTAGTGGCGCACAGAGGATATACTAAGCGACATCGCAAAGAGTCCGCGTCGTGAAAGAGAGTCGCATCGTATACTGTAGCTTACGAAGTACAAGGAAGAAGGCGTCGCGCGAAACGTGTCAGGAGTGTCGCGTTGCGCACAATTAGATACTGTCGTGCGCAGACGGGACAAGTCGCGTGAGGAGGAGGAGGAGTCCGAAGAACTTCAAGAAGTGGAAGCGGACGTCCGAGCCCCAAGAGATGCAAGTCACGCATAGCCTCTCTATAGGATCGTGTCGCGCACAAAGGTTGAGTCGCTGCATCCACCCACTGTAGACTCTGAGCCCCTCATGCAAGAAAAAGAACAGCGAAAAAAGGAGCAGAGGGTTGCACGAGGACTCGACCAGAACAGTAACGTTGCCGAGAGTACTGTCCGGCACTAGTACTAGGAGAATCCAACGAGTCATCGCATCCCAGACCGAGAACCGTGCGGGTTTACTCTCGTAATATTTCTGGAACGTGTCGAGGGTCCTGCCAGTGTGAGTATTCAACTATTCAGTGACATAAAATCATTCCAAACTATTAGTAACCTTGTTAGAGTGAATCATTAGGATCACAGAGTACGCACTTGAGCGGGGTTTCCCTCTCGGGCGGCGGCAACGCTTGCAGCTTTGCTTTCGTGCTTTCCTCGCTTCTAGGTGTCACACATGAATGCCAGTCTGACCGCAGAGTGCGCATCTGGCATCTCAGACTCACCAGGTAGAGTGTTAACGCAATATGATTTCGCCTATGTTTGAAGCACTAGGAAGTTCATGCTGCTGTTCTTGAAAAGGTCGGGGGCTTGCGCGCCGACGGTAATTTCGCAGGTCACTAGTGTACACCGTGGGTCCACCGACGCGCAAAGACGAGTTAATGAGTTGCGGAGCTAAACAGTCGGGGTCTTTGTGAGGATGGGTGAGGAGACGCAAGTTTGGAAGCAGAAGGCCGAGACTGGTTCGGCGCCCTCCTTCCCACGGCTTCTCCGAGGCGTCATTTGCATACAACTCGAACTCGAATATGTAAGGGGATCACTTAGTAAAAGGACCAAAGGAGTGGGGCTCATCCGGTAAGAACGTTCTGATCTGTTACAGAGTTTGTTACTTCTGAAGCAAATCCTTCTGACCTGAGCATCTCCTCCGAGACCCACCGCCAAGGTAGCGGGAACAGAGGCATCGAGTATGATTGACATAAATAACGGTGAAGAGACGGGATACAAGTACAGGCATGACAGACGTCGCGGTGGAATAGTCACATACGGAAAGTAAGTACGGTACGTCGAGGAGAGGGCGTGGGCGGGAAAAGCCAAGGATGAAGTCGGACGCAGCTGCCGGATGCACGAAGCACGGGGAGATATACGCGGGAATGGTAGGCGGCTGCAGTGCAGGAATTGTCCACGCCGTCTAGTAGGCTACGTTCGCGATCGCGTTCAAATACCGAGGAAGGTCGAGATGTACGCCGTAATCCGAGCGAAGGGCGCCTTCTTCGTCTTCTTTTTCTTCGGCTGCAGAGAAAAGGGGCAAACGCAGTTTAGTACGTGCTGATGCGCGATACGAGGGCAGCGCGGCGACGCACCGTTGGCGCAGCATCGCCGTTCGCCGTGCGCTTCGCAGTTGCGGTAGGCTCCACGGACTCGATAGTCGGCGAAGACGTCGCGCTGTCGGAGAGAGAGCTGCCATTCACCTGCGGGAGCTCCAGCCGTTTCGGCTCCTTCTGTGCCAGTGTTTCCTTCGGAACGTGCTCCTTGAACCACTGTTGGCAAAATATAATCAATACCCGGCCTCCACGCACCATACGATACCATGTAGCGTACCTGAGCGACAAATTTGCCTGACTCCTTGGGGTACCGTTTCTGCGTGTCGTAGTCGACGTACGTGAGCCCGAACCGCGTCACATAACCGTCGGCCCTTGAAAAGGACGTAAGTCATTACCCACTCCCGTCGGATCACCGAGGCGTAATCGGCTCACCACTCGAAGTTATCGAGGAGACCTAGAGGTGATAGAACACCGATATCAGCCGTGTTTCATTTCGGATGAAAGACGGGAAATCACTCACTCCACGCAAAGTACGCCCTAAGGTCAACGCCGTCCTCGTTCCGCGCCGCGAGCAGCGCATCCGTGTTGCCCTTGAAGTACTGCACACGGTCGTGGTCCGCAATGGCTTGCTCGATCGCCATCGAGTTCTCATCCTTGACCGCAAACCCGTTCTCGGTCACGCTATTGATGGAATTAATCCAATCAGTTAAAGTGCTCCGACGTCGACCCGGGCATCATCCTCACTAGATGGGGTGCTTGTACCGCTGCCAAGCACATCGATGCGTCAGAATCCGCAAGAAGCGCGAGTACGTAGGCCGCCGCTCACCTTCCACAGGTAGTTCAGGAGCTGGCGGAAGCCCTCGGGATCTAAAATAGACAGCAGAAGCGTTAGCGGTCGGATGTCGGTAGCACACGGGCATGCGCTGCGCTGCGATACTCACAGTCCTGTAGCCACGCGCAGTGGGCTGAACGCCGCATGCATCACCTATGGTCAGACACATAACCATCCGCACCAAAATACGGACCATGCTCACCCTGCGTGCCAAGCTGCGACCCGTCTGGTCGGGTGAACGTGTACTCCACTTTGCCCTGGAACTCGTCGTCGCCGCCGGCCTCTGCACCATGCAGCTCACAGTCAGTATGCGATGAAGGGAGGTGGATAGATCAGAGTGTGAGGGGACGCACTGCAAAGGTTCGTTGTGTACGTGTTCATGCCGTAGAACTCGGACGAGCCCTTCACCACGACGAGTTCCTCCGGCGTGAACGTGGGCAGACGGTCTCCCAGCATCTCCTTCATATACGCCGGATAATGTCCGAGGTAGATGGGGTCCTGTGGGCGCGCGCGTCAGATACTGCGCGAGTGCGAACTTTTGCCGCTCTGCACGCCATCCTCGCTCGCAGAAGGGAGGGAGACGGAAAGGAGGTCGTGATGGTGGAAGGTGGAGAGGGGATGCGGAGAGGGTACCGAGGACGGGCACGGCATTAGGAGGGGCGCAGAGGTACGTACCGCGAACCAGCCTGACAAAAAAAGGGTCACGGTATCAGCGCACCTGCCAAAACGGGCCGCCCATTCAGATAGGGCATCCGGAACCGAGACGTACCGATGGCAACATCCAGCGCGTGTTGCGCGGCGGCGACATCTGCAATGCAAAGAAGACAAAACAAACGCAGCGTGAGTGACTGTCCCTTTCACGCGGGAGGCCGCTGACGAGCGCGGGGCGGACGCTTACTTTCAGGGCTGTCGTCGTACGGCAAAGCCCAGTCGCCGTTGAGCGTGATCCCGATGGTGCCGCCCTGGGTCGCCTTGAATTCCTCGCGGTACAGCTTGCTCGCGTACGCGTGCGACAGGATGACGTTGTGCCCGGCACTGCGAAGGCAACATCACGAGCGCCCCGACAACAGTGCGGACGAAGATACGAATCAAAGCGCGGAGGGCATGAGCATGCTAGATGGGCAGAGAAAGTGGCGCAACGTACATCCATGGTTCCGTCGAAGAATCGCCCTCCGGTGAGCGCATGCGATCACTTGACCGGCCAGGCGCAAACACGCCGCGACCATGTCCGAGGATGGAAATACACCAGGGCTCGTTCATGGTCAGCCTGTGCGTGTGTTACATGTGATCAGAGCGCGAGGCAGGAAACGCGCGTGGAGAGGGCACACACCAGTACTTTACGCGGTCTCCGAAACGCTCGAAACAGACCTGTCGGAAGAAGCGATGCGGGGAAGCAGTCAGCAGGTGCACATGATGCCGCGGAGCAGGAAACTCACTCTCGCATAGTGGACATAGTCTTCGACGATCTCCTTGCTTAGCCAACCGCCATACCGCTCATAGAGTGCTTGCGGAAGATCCCAGTGGTACAAGGTCTGGATAAACAACGGAATATTGAGAAGAGAGCGGATTAGGCAGGCCAAGACACCACGCACCACGAACGGAACAATCCCGCGCTCGAGGAGGGCGTCGATCAGATTCGAATAGAACTGGATCCCGGCCTCGTTGATGGGGTCATTGCGACCTCCGAGCGGAATAATGCGCGACCACGCAATGGAAAATCTAGCCGAGGCGACGTTAGCAGCAGGAAGACAGGGGAGAGCACAGCCATCGTACCGGTAAGAGTTTACCCCGTATTCGACGAGCAGGTCGAGGTCCTCTTTCCACCGCTGGTAAGAGTCGGTGGCTACATCACCGTCCCGACCGTCGAGGGTCTTGCCGGGGAGCTTGGAGAAATCATCCCATATTGACTTGCCGCGGCCGTCAACGTCGGTCGAGCCCTCAATCTGAAAGCTCGCTAAAGGAAACGACAGGTAAGCCCCGTGACTAGGGGTCGAGCCGCGCTCTCAGGGGTATACGTGATTCCCAAGAGGGACGTAGGAAGACAGCTCACCGGTAGCAAACCCCCAAAGGAAGTCGCTGGGTAGCTTGTTTGGCGATGCGACGTGTGTAGACATGGCGGCTGGAGGGTATACGGGGAAAGCGGAGGAGGGCTGCGAACATGTTTGCTCTTAAAGTACGGCGAGGAACCAGTGCCGATATCATCTCTGAGGGCTTGGAACGGCACATCCGACAACGGGGGGCCGAGGAAAGTCCGGGAGGGGAACCTCGGTCCTGTCGCAGCGCAGGCGCGGCGGGTGCGCGTTCCTTGTCCATCTCGGGCGTGGAAAAACACGGTGTAGTGGAGCTCCCCCTGGCTTCCCGTGCAGGAAATTTCCTTGGGAACACGGCAGGACCTCCGGTTCGGTTCTTCAGCGGTCTGCGGACATGGCATCAGCGGAGGGCGGCAATGCAGTTGCAGATGTCGCAAAGCATGGAGATTGACTTTTTGAAATCCCTGGATACTCCGGGACAGCTCCGGGAGGACGACGTTCGTCATGACCCAGGATACAGTGCCGCATAATGCACCTGATAAAAGTAGATGCGGTTAGTGTGCTGGAAAGAGACCTCGGTAGGACGAGGCGGTCCCTGTGCAAAGTCCCCGGCGAACTCATCCGAGCCCACCCGGCACGCTACACGTGCTATGTCCGCCCGCCTTTCAACCGGCGAGAGAGGTTTTAATGTAGCCATATAACACTGCTACTAGTCATGCAGGCCGTATCGCTATTAGCCTATACATGATCGTAGCGGATGAAAGACGAGACGGCGATCGTTCAAGTCATATATTATGAGACGCCCGTCGCCGGGTAAGGGGCGCCCGGAGAAATATCGGCATATACCAGAACGGGGGTGACCGACAGTGGTTCGTGCTTCGATAAAGCTCTCTTTGAGTGGCATTCAACGCTTCCTGGAACTGCACAGATACGCCCGTCAGCTCACCGATTTCCGTCAGTAGATACATATCATGCCCGCCAAAGGTATTGCCATCCTGGGTTCCGGCATATTCGCCACAGAAGGTACGTACCATACCGTCGACATACTTCCGGAGATTCACCTATAGTAACCACCAACTTGCACGCTCGTTTAACGCTGCGCGATCGCGCGCGAATCAGCCCATCTGCCTGCCATCGCCACCCTCGGGGATGCCATCGAGCTCAAGGCCGTCTACTCGCGGTCAAACAAGAGCGCATCAACGTTCGCTCGCTCCGCCCAGGACATCCTCAAGCTCTCGCACGCACTCGATGTGTACCACGACGAGGACCCGGCGGCGTCACTCGACGTCCTCCTGGCCCGGTCAGATATTGCCGCCGTCATCGTCGTGCTCCCTATCACCGTCCAGCCCAAGGTGATCCTGAAGGCGCTTGCCGCCGGCAAGCACGTTTTGAGCGAGAAGCCAGTTGCACCCGACGTCAGCCAGGGCCGCGCCCTCATCCAGGAATACGAATCCAAGTACAAGTCCCGCGGATTGGTCTGGCGCGTCGCGGAGAACTTCGAGGCCGAGCCTGGCTACCGCGCAGCGCGGCGCGCAATTGAGGACGGGAAGATCGGCAAGGTCGCCTTCTACAACGCTTGCGTCGTCAACTACATCGACGAGAACTCAAAGTGGTACAACACGCCGTGGCGCACTGTTCCGGATGTGAGTAAGCGTCTTGAGAATGTGTAAGCGCAACTGTACTCACATTTCGTGCCCCTCCAGTACCAAGGCGGTTTCCTGGTATGTCGTCGGTCTCTGACGTGATCCAGCTCGATCGAGTTCCTGACCGGCCTTCCCCGTTGTGTCTTGGCGTGTCCACAGCTCGATGGTGGCGTCGTAAGTAGTGCTCACGAGTTCTACACCAGTCTTATGCTAATCTGCCACACAGCACACGATCGCCTCGCTGCGGGTGGTCCTCCCGAGCGCCCTGCAGACCGTATCCGCGTTCGCCTCGCTCGCAAAGGACATCCTCCCGCCACAGGACACGATCAACGCCATCGTGAGGAACGTCGACGGCTCGCACGGGCTCGTCGAGCTCACCTGGGGTGCGCCCACCGTCACGCGCGCGAAGCAGGCAGGCAACAACATCACCGTCACCGGCACGGAGGGCTGGCTCGAGATCACCCGCGCGAACGGCGTCATGCGCATCGCGGTGCACACCATCACCCGCGACAAGGACGGCAAGTCGACCGGAGAAACGGAGGAGGTGATCGAGGAGAAGGAGGTCGGTATCCAGCGGGAGATCGAGAGCTTCCTGCGCGCCACGGACGGCTCGGACGACGGGGTAGACGACCCGCGCAGCACCCTCGTGGACGTCGCGTTCATCGAGGCGGCGCTGAACAGCAACGGCGCGCCCGTGGATCTGGTGGCGCTTGCGAAGGTGTAGAAGCGTCAGAGAGAAGGGGAGGGAAGGTGCCCCCGATGGCGGCGGCGAATACCCGCCTCTGTGCTCGGGCATACCTGTTGGAGCGTAGAGAAGCTGAAGCAGACCTGTCGGTTGTACGAGTAGCCACGCGGACTGCACCCGTTTCTCCGCGCCGCATAGTGTGCAGCATGGACGGCCGATGCCCGCACCCCGCGCGGCCTGCGCCCATCCGCGCCCGGACGCGGCCTGCACCAGCACGCGCCTGGCTTGCGGGTGCGGTGTGTATGCAAGTTCACCGGCGGCAGCGCGCGCTCGGCGGTATTACGGCAACCAGCCTCACGAATCTCGTCGGGCCGTGCTCCGCCTTCGCGCGCGCGCATTCCTCGGTGAATCGTCCACGGTGATCCACGCGACGGGATCTCACTGAGCGGCCGTGGGCAGCGCACGCCGTATTCTTAGGGTCTCTGTGCCCACGCACACACATATGCTTGACGGTGCAGGGCCGCGGCCCATGGATTCTAGAAACCAGCCAGAACGCGTCGCAGAGGCAGGGCAGGATGAGGCCCTTCCGAGAGCTGGGAGCTCCCTGCACCGATAGTCAGAGGCTCCCGGCGGAAGGGGCCATCGCCGACGACATCGGTGCATACGTGAACGGTAGCTTCGTTGTCCTGATTGTCAAAGCTTATAGTGTTAAGGAAAGCCACTCTCCCGAGGCTGCTCGGATCCGGCGTTACTGGCCGCTCGAGACCACCTTAAGTCCGGAGAGGGAAACGCGAAGACAGTCCGGGATCATCGACACACCGAAGAGGAAGTACAGGCATCGTGCATGATAGCCTGACGAGGGGATGCGGATAGGCCCAGCCGGCGCCGGGAGCAACGAGAGGGCGGGTGGAGGGCATGCGACTCGGAACGCACTAAACATAGGAAAGGCGTATTTTGGGATCAGACGGACTGCCGCATCGCAAGGAAGGACATGGGTCCACATTGACAACGGTGTAGGCAAAGCACAGCATGAGTACATATCTTAGCGTCAATTTACGAGGGAAGTGCTCACAGTACACGTTAATGAACAGGTCTACCAAGCACTCCGCAGCAGTGGCAGCGCATGCATGTGGGAGTTCTCAAAGCACTCATGCACACGCGGAGCTGTTTAGTGCGAGAACGTTTGCCAGTGGGTGGCATGTGTCCTCGACGTCATGGCCAGCGTGGTGGTGTATCGCCGGCGATGCTTCTCGGAGTGCAATCGATGCGAAACAGAGCAGATGGATTACCGAAAGCGATCGTCGTAGCTTGTATAAATAATAGCTGAGAATGCCGAAACCTCCCTGACGTCTGCCAAGGCCTGCAAGTGGGAGAACGCAAGGTCAGACGTGTCTTGGCGAGCACGGAGAGCAGGGCTACGCACGTCGACGAGCTCATTTGGCAGGCTCTCCAGCGCGAGGTGACACCACCGCGCTAGTCCGGGGAGCATCGCCGCTAGACGTTCCCTCGGCTCTTGACCCATCATCGCGTCGTCGTCGCCGTGCGAGCCAAAGACGTGCTTGTCCACTCCGCGGGAAAGCATGTCCATCGCGTTGTCCAGACACACCTCGAGCACGCGCTCGAAGGAACCGGAAGCGAGGTGCTGACGTGTCTCGTCCAGGAAGGCATCGAATTTGGGGTCATGTGCACTGGCGAGCCATGAGGGAATGCCGCCCTGAGTGAGCACATGCTGGAGGGTCTCAGGGGTTGGCGGAAGGAGGGTAGACAGGAAGCTACCGGTGGGTGGTGAGAGCAGTGAGGAAGCGAGGGACAGCAAAGTTCAGTCCAACATGTGGGATTGGTCTGGGCCGAGCACGCACTTTATTCGACGCTCCTTGCCCTCAAACGTGACCTCGTACTCCACTCTACGGCGGACGTCGTTGATTAGACGATGTAGGTCTGCGGCAGACAATTTTGTCTTAAGCGAGACCCTATAAACAATCATGAGCACGCCTTCATGCGAGCACAATCTACCACGCACCCTTCAAAGACTTCTTCGACACCCCTCCGCACTCGCTCGCCAACGTCTTTCCAACCGACATGCAGGATCCACCAACTCAAGGTAAGGTATTTCCGTTCTGTCTCCTCGCTCACTGTCTCGGACTCCTCGAGCATGTCCGTCTCAGAGTCCTCCAGACTGTTGTCGCGCCAGAATAGCGAGTATATGGACGTGCTGTATTCCAGCTGTTCACGCATTCGCTCGTCGTGTTCCTGCTGGATGAGCGATTGGATATACTTCGAGCGTCCAAGTACGCTCAACTGAATGTGTGTGAAGAGGGACAGAAGCGTGATTGAGTATATCACAGTTAATGTCCGAGTGAACGCTGCCAGGTATAAGTTTAACGTCTAAGGGACTGGCAGATGCTTCACGCACTTAGCATCTTCACTTCTCGCCATAGTTCCGCCTTGCTTTTAGTGGTGGGACTGGGAATATTGACGTGATGTTCAGGGGAAGCCTGTGCAATATTAGGATAGGTGATCCATATTAAGCACGGGCACTCACAGAAGGGTTCGGAAGTCCAGGCGCAGCCGCGCTCGACATGGAGCTTGTAGTGATAATAGAATCTGACAGTTCCGCGCCGATGCTGGATTTTGGGGACGGCGAAGCAGCACCATCTCTCGTAGACTCAGATAGATGTGAGACTTGCGCGGAAGGCATGGAAAATTGGTCGACCCAGCTACCAGCTGACGTTGACAAGTCTGTGGCGACTCCGTCATTGGACGATATTACAGAAACAGAGCCATTTTCGGACCGCATGTCTGCGTCTGGACTGCGGTGGTTGTCCACGCTGGACGTGATGCTGGACTCGGATGGTGGAGCGGCATGTGGAGGTTCTATGCGTTCCTTAGGTGCTTTGGAGAAGGACTGTAGCTCCTGGGTGACACCTTCGACGTCCATGTCTTGGAGGATATGAGCACCGAGCGCGGGGAGTAGCGCCATCACGGTGAACGAGATGTCCTGTTGATTCTGGTCGAACCTCCTTCGCAGGCTGAAGCACAATAGGACAGGTTCATTCAGTGAGTCGCATATATACACTCGTACGACATACTTTTCGCGTGCCACCCGTTCCTGGACGAGCGTGGTCCGAACCTCCTCCAGTCGTGCGGAGACATAGCGTCCGAGAACGTACGCACTGCCGACGTACGCGGTGACCTTCGTGAGCCCTCGTCGTCGCTCACTGAGGTAATTTCCTAGGGCATAGAACATTCCGAGATGGTGGTGGCATGAAAGCAAGAGCGGCAGGCGGGCGTTCCTCAGAGCATCGACCCACTCGACGAGCAGCGCTGCCCCGCGTCGCCGGCGAGGTCGCCGGCGCTGCCAAACACGTGCTCCGCGACGGAGGCGCCCACACGAACCTTTCCTTCCACCCTCATCTTGCTGGTCGACAAACATGGTCTGTGTGCTCGCCGTCCCTCAGGACTCTCCATTCTGACGAACGAGTTGGTGCTTAGGGCGGCGGAGCGAGATATCCCTACCCGAAGGAGGTCTGGTCGCCAGCTGGTGAGTGCCCTTTTCGCCCATGCGAAGAGTCAATTCGCAAACTGTTTCCAGGTGGCTGGTGGACGCGGCCGACGAACTGGAAGACGAACACCGCGATTGCGTTTGCCGGCATTCTCACCGTTGCGTACGGTGTGTTCACCTTGAGCGCTGACAAGGAGGTGCGTATACCCCACCTGGTCCTATCTCCGCGTCTTGGTGACAGCTGCAATCCAGAAGCGACTGGTGCAACCCTCACGGCCCATACCTTCCATGAGAGTACGTATCACCGTTCTCGTATCGCTTGTGCCTACTCACGAATCTGGCTTAGTGGGCAAAGGAGTACAAGGAACAGAAAGAGGCTGCATAGTGACTAGGCCGTGTCTGTGGATCCCCCTGTTCCTGGCATGAATATGCAGACGATCTTTTCCCTTGCACGCACCATGCGGCCACTGAGCCCCATTGAATTCGGCGACAAATAATCCTTGTGAGTGTATTCAATACTTCTGCCCTCAGCACAAGAGCCGCACAGTATGGTACGCACGACGCGCACTACACACTCCGCGGTTTCTCCGCGAGCCCAATGTACGTTTCCTGCCATGGCGCGCATCAGCCACGGATCGGTTGCTACCCTCGTTCTATCTACCTCCTCAATCCCGTGATAACACAGCAACATGTACCAAGTGCTTCGTCGTTTCTTGGAATACGTGCATGGATTTCCGCTCCTCGTTTGTCCGAAATGCAGATCGGTGCGTTCTATCTCAAGGATTCCTTCAAACTTTTCCACTCACACCTTCTACAGTGTATGGGCACTGATGGCTGTGCCCTCCTTCGCATGCTAATGACGAACGGTCAAGACCACCGGCGGTATCTCGGGAGCAACCACGGAGATGGTCGAGAGGGCCGTCTTCAACCACAATGTCTTCCTTGACTCTCGCCAATACGACGTCCGGCTGGCCAGTGCGCACGATTTTGGCTGTGCATCGCGCATGCCACCTCGCGGAGAAACTCAGGAGACCGTAGGTGTTGATGAACCTCGGGAACGACAACTTACATGGACGGCAAGCACCTCATAGTCACTATCACGCAGTATCTGGATGGCTCGTGGTTCGCTCTGCGTTCGTCCGTGCACCGTGCACAAAAGTATACCACCGGTAAGCCTCCGGGACATGCAGCCTTCGTACATGTGTAATGCTCATTCTTGCGCTCCTCTGTTCAGTCGGGACGCAGCTGTACCACGTTGGCGTACGACCCCATTTCCGATTGGCTGTCATCCTCATCCAGCATGTCCCATTCGAGCGCGTCCAGCTCGGAAACGTCCGATATCTGGCTGGCCCATTCCGACAGCTGATCCTCCTCGAGTGCGATGACTCTCCTCACGGGCTCAATCAACTCGAACTCCTTGCGAACTCCTGGTGTCGCGCCGCACCCGTCAGCGCAAGACACACATGCCCCGCGAAAGCACACACCTTTGGGCTTCATCGGCTTCGCGATATCCATGAGCTGCACCTCGCGCCTCTCCTGCGACTTGTCGTGCCGCCAAACGCCCTCCTGCCCGTCGGCGTCTATGTCATTCCTCGCCCATTCTTCCCGGACGTCCGTCTCCCAGACGTCGTCGCTCTCGCCGCCGTCCCAGACCGGGCCCATCGCACGCCCGCTCACATAGTGCGGCGACATCCACGTCTCCCCGTCGTCTCTGCCGGGGTTGCGGCGGGCCGTTCGCGGCGGGCACACCGGCGGTCGCTGCTTGGGCTTGTTCCATGCGAGGACCCAGTCCGAACGCTTGATTGCGTGCTGGGATTCATTGGTGGTAACTTCAGCTCGTGCAGGAGGGAGAGGCGGAGGAAGATGTAAGCCGACGTGTTTTGAAAGACTCACTGCGGGTTTGGCTTGGTTCAATTTGGTGAGCGTGCCAAGCACGCTCTTCGTAGCGTGGCGGCTGCCGGGTTCGATCGAGCGAACCACGATTTGCTTTGCCTGTCTTTGGCTGCGCGAGGGCATGGCGAGAGCTCAAGGGAAGGCGGCGGGGCGATAGTGTGTGCAGGAAAGTCGCTGGAGAGTTGCGACCCAGGTGGTGAGCTGAATACTCCCGCGCCCTGTCCACTCATTTATAGTCATATAGAACAGCCACGCTTGAGTCATGTCGTTAAGTGGTTGGATTAGGCAGGGCCCGGCAATGTCTGTCTGTCACTGCCGTGTGTGAAACGTCAGTGGCTGAGGTCGCATAGGATTCCTTGAGTCACAGCTTCGAAACGGCGACGTTCGCAGCGCGGTGTTGCCACCCGCCGTAGGCTACTCCGCAACATGATTTGCGGTGCACTCACTCAACATTCCCGGAACAGCCATGCCGATCCTATCGGTGCGATGTGAGTCTACCTGATTAAATATGTGGTCACGAGGTGACGGATAGCGTCGTACATAAGGTCATTTATTGAAATATCCCTGTGACAGAAATACATGAAGTAGGAAAACGGGAAGAAGGATGTGTCGCTCGCAGCATTCTTGAGCGCTAGCCTGAGCCTGGACATACGACACCTTGGAAAAAGGAACGAAAAGTCAACTGGCTGGGTCAGACCTGCCACAAAGATATGTACATGGTGCGCACCGTGAGGCCTGGTCGATATGGTATAGCTCCCTACGATGCGCTCACCCCGTCATGACCGCCTGTGATATAGGAATCGCTCGGAGAGCTTTGCGGAGAGCTCCAGCACAGGAGCCGTTGTATCGGAGGCTGAGCTCGGCCCCGGTCGCTGCAGCCTGAGCCACAACCGCCTGAGACCGAAGGTACTCGTCGTCCAATCTGCGTCGTCGTGGACAATGAAGGTCGCCTCAGCGAGCGTACGCTGCGAGCTCGACCTCGAGCTGAACTCTTCGATGCGGGTCTCCTGGCTGTCGTCGGCACAGGGTGCTTCCAGCTCGTCTCTGAGGCGCTCGTGGTGGTCGGCGGCAGGTAAAGCGGAAGGGGAAGCTGCGTCGTGAGTGCGCGTGGGAGGACGGATATAGTTCTCGATGGAGAAGCGGGCGGTGGTATCTAAGTCTCCCGACCGCTCACCCAGCGCGATGTGAGTGAGTGTGAGGTAGATCTGGATTCGCTGGCCCTCCTTCAATCCTGTGCAGTGGGTTCGCGTGGTGAGAGACGCCGAGAGGAGGATTCGGCCATGCTCGGGCTGGAAATGGTGCTCCAAGTCGGACATCTGGAACCCAAGAGCACCAAGCTCTTCGTTTTCCTCGTGAGCCATTCGGAACGTCGTGTTCGAGGTTACAGCGCGAGTCTGAGGTTGGCTGTGGACCCACAGGTCGATCGAACGCTTCAATGTAGAATGAGGTTGGCGCGACTTGCGTAGTAAGGGCTGTCGGAAGTGGCGCAGGAGGAGTACCTCCATGGGAGTGGGGGTTGATGGTGCTTCTTTACGTATGGTGCGCTCCAGACCGGCCTCTATCGCGGCCTTCAGCACCTCTCCTTCGATATGCATCGTGCGGAACGGAGCTTCATGTAGCCAGTGATTGCATGACATGAAAGGTGCGATCGCGTAGGCCTTCCGCGAAGCGCGTGCTTCGTCCTGATGGCACAACGGTAGAGCGATGAAGGAGCCGCCTTTGCTTTGGCACTGCAGGAGGGCGATGGCCGTCGCTGTTGGGAGGTCACGGCAATCGTCACATCCTTCCGCCCATGTCTGCCGGACGTCCTCTGTGTCTTCCAGCACCTGTGGCAGGTCTGTGAGAGGGATGAGGAGGAGTTGAATACGGACACCTTGGGGAGTGAAGACACAGTGCAACGGCGGAGCCCACGAGCTGCCTGTGCTGGACGCTAATCCGATGCGTGATTCGAACTGGGAGGCGGAGAGATGGACGACGTCGCTGGCATGCTCGAAGGCGCTAGGGGAGCTCGCGAGTAGACAGGGAACACCGGGTTCGACCCACCACTGCGACGTGCATTGAAGTCCTCGAGAGGGACCCCATGCGAATATGCTTTGGTCCGGGATAGTCCTGATGATCTCCTCCTGGAGACGTACGAATGCGTTGCCGTTCTCGCCGTAGATAGGAGATATGTGCACGCCGAAAATGCCCAACAGGGAATATGCTCTATCCTCGACACGCGACGTCTTCCGCCGCGCCGCCCACGACATCCTGCGCGCGACACTGATATCGTCAAGGCCTGCAACGCCCGTCAGGATGTTGAAGTCGATTCCAGTGATCTCCCGAAGGGTCGACGCGAGCCCCACGCGCGTGCCTAGAAAACGCCACCCTCGGGTGAGAAATACGACGTGTTCCGGGGCGATGAGTTCTTGTAATGTCCAGCCTCGCGTATGCCATCTACTCCGCCGAAAGGACGAGTCCGGGAGCGCGGGGTCCACAACATCGTGTACATCAGTGAGGTAGACGTAGCAGACGTCCGCCTGCCTGTACCATTCGTACATGGAATTGATCGCTTCGGAGAGCTCCGCGCTGTTGGATTTGTCAATGCAGCAAGCGTCGATCCATATCAGCGTGTATCCAGCATTTCGAGCGAACTCGCAGATGCCCTTGATCTTATCGAAGAGGCTTGGTTGGTCGAAGATGGTGATGCTCGGGAGGTTGGCACTGGAGGATGGCAGCGAGGGCTGTGTTTCCCTTACAAGCTTCTCCACCGATGTCTGGAGATCCCGTATGTCATCATAGGTCTGTTCTTTGTCGCCCCAGGTATGAGAAAGGATTGCGTAGCGCTCTTTGCTGGGATCCACTATCCAAACGAACTCGCCCGTAGACGTATTCAAGAAACGTGGCATGTCGAGATAATCGATATGGTGGGCTTTACAAATGATCGTCGTAAGTTGGCTTCGAGTGGGAACTGTGAGCAAACTCACATCTTGCCTTCAAAGTTGCAGTGCCTATGCGTACTAGAAGCTAGTAGGACGATGGAAAGACTCGGCAGACAATGATAAGAGGAATGCCAGCGAACGCATGTCCATCGGACGGTCCCAGGCAACTAGTAGATAACCGCGCATAATTACGCAGGCAGTCGGGCGGTAGATGATGCCGTTGAGACAGCGTGGAACCCTCTCCCATGTCTGGAGGGCTCTGCGTGAGCGATGTTGCCTTGTAACCGGACCACTTCGGAGTGGTGAATCATTCGGACGAGTATCCTAGAGAACTTCAATTGTGTTATAAATAAGCGTCGACGCTCCATAGTTAAAACGTTAACGATCTGATCTAACCAGCGCTCGTAACTTCTAGCATAGCAGCCTAGCGAAAATGTACATGTAAATATTCAAGGAAGGCTCAGAGATGTGTTGGACCAGGACCTTCAGAGTCCACTATATAGCAATATCGCCCGCTACTGCCATCGCTGCTCGGCCTATAAACACTCCCGAGAGTTCTATAGAAAGTAGAAGATTAGAAGTAATGTGGGATATACCGAAGCGGGGTTCACGGTCGTACTCCGTCAAACGGAAGCGCAACTGCCTGACGTTGCCCCTCCTCTCGCTCTGGCTCCTAAAATTGGCATCCATCTGAATCGTGAAAACGGTTTCCGCCCTCATCCGATCGTGGTGGTCCGGGTTCGGCTGCGTTCCGAGCTCTACGATCCGTATTTCAGCGCCGCGGTCGACAGGCGGCATCTTCTGGATGATGTGCCGGGGAGGGTGACCGCACCCTTGTGGCAAGATGGCGTCCGCCTTTTCTGATTCGGGAGTGTGTATGAAGTTGGCGACGGAGAACTCGGCCTTCGCATACCCGTCAGGTCGGGAATCTGTGAGAACGACTTGGAGGCGCAGGTGTTGTCCGTTCGTCGTGCCGCTCTGGTGCGGAAAGTTGGAGACGAGCGAGGTCGTGAGCGTGATCCCTTCCTCTCGCCGTCGGCATCGCAAGGGAGTGATCGTGAACCCGAGCGTATGGAGATAGAACGCGGACTCCTCAGCGAGAGGAATTGGCTGGGCTGAAGACGTCAGGCCTAACCGCCCCAGGTCGAAATGGAGGCCGCGCTCCTGCAGCCGCGGTCCCAGGGTACTCGGACTGTCCTGCTGTAGGTGGCGCCCCGGCCAGTCGTGGCGGTCGTGACGGGCGAAACAAACTTCTACAGGCTCCGGGAGGAGGTACGCCAGCGACGCCGCAACCGCATCCTTACTCAGACGCACTAGGCGGAACGGGTTGTGCGGAGGGTCTGCGCTACATGGGAGGTGCGTTCCGATGGTCACATCTGTCCAGGAACGTTCCGGAGTGAGTGGTGGTCCGCATAGAGGTAGGGTAATGAGCGAGCCAGCGCTGTCCCTGCACTGCAAGAGCGCGAGGACGCGGGCTTGCCCGCGGCCTTTACAAGCTTCACATCCTTGAGGATCTACCAATGCGAAGATCGCCTGGTGGAGAAGTGGGGTGTCCGTGAGGTCGATGCACAGAAAGCGGGCGGTGACACCTCGTGCATCAGAGAAGCACTTGGGCGACGGGAAGTCGAGAGCACTAGAATCGCGTCCGAGGAGCATCGCAAACTCCTCAGCCGGGATGGGGCTGATGTCAGATTTGTAAAAGTCAAGCGCAGACCGGGCAAACAGACATGTCGAAGAGCGAGGGGAGGTGTGCGTCTGCCCCGGGGTGCGCCTGACATCGTCTGGGAACGCCGCGACAGTGCAACTGGGGCCCCATGCGAAGATGCTGTGGTCCGCGGTATTCTTGATGATCTCCTCTTGAAGACGCAGGAAAGCGGCGGTCTTCTCGCCATAGGCGGGGGGCATACGGACGCCGAAGATGCCCCATAGCGAATACGCCTGGTCCTCCACACGAGTTGCTTGACGTCCAGCGGCCCACGACATGCGTGTCGCGACACCGACGTCGCTTAGAAGACCGACTTCGCGCGACAGCATCTCCGGAAGGACGCCGGTGATTTGGGCGAGAGTCTCGGCGAGGTCCTCCTTTGTGCCCAGACGGCGCCACGTCCTCGTCAGAAACACCTCGCGCTTCGGGGAGATCAGCTCCTGCAGTGTCCAGCACCGAGTGTGCCATCTACTGGTTCGGAAGCGAGAGTGCTTGGCAGAGGGGTCTTCTTCATCTTCATCGGGTACGTCCTCGAGATAGACGTAGCATACGTTCGCCCGTTTGACCAACTCGTACGTTAAGTACGCGCTCTCCGCCATCTCTAGCCTGTTGGAGCGGTCGACGCAACAAGCATCGATCCACAAAAGCCTGTACCCGGACTCGCGGGCGACTTGGCAAGCAAAACGGATCTTGGCAGGGAGGAGGGAGAAGACAGGCGATGCGAGGACCACTCCAGAATCATCGCAGGGCAAAGATGAATCCGTCACTACCGAGCCTGCCTGGATCTTCTGGACGTCCTGGTATGTCGCTTCATCGGGGCCCCAGAGGTGAGACAGGTAGGCGTACTGGGCCTTACTTTGGCCAGTCGTTTCCCTCCAGACAAACTGGCCGGTGGAAGTATCCAGGAAGCGTGGCATTGCGCTCTGCCAGTACTAAGTTAGCATCACAGCCCGCACCGCCATTTCTGGGCTCACCAGGGCTGGATATCTGTTGCCAGAAATCGGCTGCAGATGGGGAAGGGAAAGGTCCTGATGTGACTCATGAGAGCGGGCCTGATACCGCTGCGCAGTTATCTGATTTGTAGTTGAGGGCAGGACCTGGTCGCGTGAATGCGACAACGGCTCGATATCCTATATCTATATGTCAGGCAACCTAACGTCAACGTAGAGCGACAGGGTGTAATTGAACCCACGGTAAAGCCGATGATAACAGACCTGTCAACCGCACTAGCGCGCGAGGCAAGAAAGCGATCCGGAGTGATGATCAGGGCCCGTTTCACAGTCAAACCGTACCAAGCACAGCAACACGAGCGACAACACATCCAGGAAGAGAAGGCTAAGCTTCGCATCTTCGAGCGAGAGAAGGCAACAGCAGAATTCAGAGAGTGGTGCGTTGGGAGGCGTTCGAAGAGCGACTTCATGCGTACGCTCTCAGGTACATGCACGATAAACCCGAATATCACACAGGAATCAAGCGCCACTCAACTCATCCAAGAGCTCATCGTCGTCCCCTAGCCCTGCCGCATACGCCTATCGAGCAACAGACGTAAGGACATAACGTCATAGTGATATTTGGTTCGGCCCAGCTTACCTCGAGCTCAGAATTTGACATGGCTGCCGTCCCTGCTTTCTTCTGTGACGATGCCGCGTCTCCACTGTTGCCTGACGCGAACTATGCGGGGGTGAGTTACGCGAAAAACGCGGGGCGCGATGCGCGCACCGTCGCGCTCATGAGTGCCTCCCAGTCGCGCTCAGGCTCCGAGGGTAATGTTGCGCCGATGTTCGCCTGCTGATCTGCGCCTTCATTGCCTTCATGGCCGGCGTGACCCTTGATGTATTGTAGATGTATCTGTGACGGGGAGTGAGCACAATTGAGCTGTAGGCAACGCAGACGCGCTCACTTTTTGACCCTCGCGTGCGCGCAAGTCGAGCAGCGCAGAAAGATATCGGATGAGGGGCGCGTTCTTGACAGGCTCTCCGGAGGCGGTCCGGAAGTTGTTTTTCAGCCACTTCGGCATCCAATGTCGGAAGCCTAGAACAGAAGCGTATAAGTAGTGCACGCACGTGTTTCAGAGGCTGGCCTCACAGCTGATGCTGTACTTTGAGTCGGTCTTGATGAGCAGCGGCCGCTTCGTGTGTGGAGTTGTCTCGAGGACGCGAACGATCGCCTATGTGCAGATGTGAGATTGGTAGGGGTGTGTAGAAACGAGCTCTACGCACGATGAGCTCCGCGCGGTTGTTTGTCTGTCCGCCAGGACACCTTTCTGCTATGTTCCTAAGCACGCACGTCAGGTTGCGTCCGCGCGGGACAAATCTCTACGCACCTTGCGTCATTTTGTCCCCACCAGACACCGACGCCAGCGATCGAGCCTGTCTTGCCGTTGCCCTTGCACGCACCATCGGAGTAGACGACATCCCAACCGGACTCATCTTCTATGACCTCGGAGGCGAGCGCGGCCCATTGTGAATTCGAGCTGCCAGAGCGCGCCGAGTCCTGCGACGTCTTCGCAGCAGGGGGTTGGGTACGGGCATAGGGTGTGCTTCCATGGGTTCTTCCACGAAGCGCGGAGCCACGCTGTAGAGTGCGCGAGGAGGAGGGGGTTGAAGAGGAGGCTGCGGACGTGCTGTTCACGGAGCCGGTAGGAACGCCGTGTTCGGTGAGATATTGTTTCGCCTGCTCGAGGGAGGCGAATTTGTGATGCTTGTTACCAGCGAACCCAGCTGTTTGCGCTTGGCATTCGTCCCTGGAGGAGCAGAGTGAATGTCCGAGAGCCTATCAGCGAACGAATCAACGTACACACCAGGTGGTGTAGACACCGGGGACGCGTCCCCGAGCGACGGCGTAGAAGCCAGGTTTCCCAGACTTTACCATGTTCAAATTTTGTGCAGGGATAGGAGACCGCCGCACTAGAGGAAGCTTGGAGTGGGAGCAGAGTAACTGTTGGGCCCTAGGAGAAGACCTGAGCGGTGTGCGGAAGCTCGACAAAGGCGCGCGCAGGCGGGTGAGTCGAAAGAGCGCTCTTCCAGCCACCGTGTTCTCTTCTCAAAGGGGCTATGGCACGAACAGTGAGCCAAGAGATGGTGTCCTGAGGACAGGCGTTGGGCAGATGGAGGGAGGAGGAAAGGGCGCGGCGGCGGAGTTCTCAGATCTGAGAGCTACCGGACTTTGAGCGCCTAATAATGATCTGAATTGATCGACTGTACAAGCTTGCAAGTCCTCCTTATATGGAGGCCGTCCAATCGATTCTCTTTCCAATCGATTCTCTTTCTTGCACTCCTCTCTCTCTCCACCACCACTCTTTTTCGAGTTCAATATTCATCCGTGAAACACAAATAACTTTCAAGCCTACTGCTCCGGTGAGGGCTGTCCAGAAACAGCTAAGTTACTAGAGAAGATGCTCCTCGACCCATGGCCAGTCTGACTAAATAACAAGTTTTTCAGTTACCCTGACTATCGGAAACCTCGCTTGCTATCGTAGACCATCTTTCCATAGGAACAGGCTCTGTCGCTGCGAGTCGCAGTCATCAATTTGCAGCTCTGTAGGTGTGTTTCCGCATATCACTTACCTATTTTGCTGTTGTCGTCCCGGTAGGCCACCATGCACCATTTCTCCTGCTTCATCCGCTCGACGCGCCTCTTGCTCAGCCTAAATCGCACCCGAATTCGATACTGCACGTACTCCTGCGCTGTCAGGACGAAGAATGAGCCAGGCGCAGGGGACTCCTTCCCCTCGAATATCGCCCTCATCTTCTCTATCGTCTCCTCCGGGTCTACCAGTGCCGGGCAGTAGAATAGCAGTCGCGTCGTGGGCTCAGATGGAGACAGAGACTCGACGAACAGCGCCCGGGTGACCTTCGCCTCCCACACCTGTATATCCTCTGGGTCCCGCGAGAAGTCGACAGGGAGCGCGGTCGCGATTGCGAATGGGATCCCGTAGTACCCCGTCGCGATGATGTTCTCAAACTCGACCAGCCACGGGTCCGTCCGCACATGTCGTGCGCGAACGCGATGGAGTCCGTCTGACACAGGGATGGGCCACTTTCCGGTGTACGGCGCAATATCGGAGAGCATGCGGCCGCTGAGGACGCGTGCGAGGAAGTCAGAGAGCCAATGGGCGGGGAAGCCGACGCGGTGCAGGTGCATGAGAAGCCCGAAGAACGCGACGAGGTTGTTCGGGAGCCGCACGTTGCCTGGGGGTTCTTTCGTGCGGCCGGTGACGAAGGTGTTGAAGAGGACACGCGTGAGCCAGGTCGTGAGCTCATCACGCGATGCTAACTCGGTGAGGGGACGCGGGAGCGGGAGCAGGCCCATCGCGAGGACCTCCATGACCGCCTGCGGGCGGGTGATGCGGCAGCCAAGGTAGCGGGGAATTTCTTTGGGGAGTAGATGAGTGTACCTAGTTGTCGAGTGGTCAGACTAGCATGGAAGATGCACGAGTGGAGACATACGTGTAAAAGTACTGGTCATCGTCTTCCCACACACTCGTGTTGAGCAAGCAGTTACAAGCGGCAGCGGCTTGCGAGTCGTCTTGCAGGCTTGGGACAATGAAGACAGCCATGTTCATCGGCCCATGTGTGTAGTCCCTGGCACTCGGTTCAGCGACAGATCGGAGGCACTTGCGTGATGCTAAAACACTCACGGGACATTGCTCAGCCACATTCTCGTATATTTCCTAGGGAAACTGGAAGGGCGGCTGATATCGCCTCCGCGCCGCATCTTCGCGAGCTCTTCAGAGAGCTCGCCGCAGATTAACTCGACAGTGAGGCTCCCGCGTAGGCCCTGGGATAGCGTTGGCGGCTTCTTCGAAAAACGCGCCTGCGACATCGTAGGACAGTGTTTCCATGCCGATGCTGGCCCTGTCTAGCGCATGAGGGTCGCGGCGATTGTTAAAGTCGGACATGAAGCTCGTGGTCTCGAAGACGTCGTACTTCAGATCCGGGCAGTGGTCCCCTCCAGGGTGTTTTGGATTGTCTTCTTTTGCACCCTACAATCATAGCAGAGTGATCAATAGGAAGCTCGCGCGACAGCGACCATCGAGGAACATACGAAGAGCGTGATGTTGACTTTCCAATCATTCACAATATGGGCATCGACCTGGCTCAATACAAGCTTAACGTTGAACTCTTCAAGTAAGGCGAATGGCGGCTCACCCCAACCAGTGCGGACTCGTCGATCCTCTGATCGCGCTTGAGCTGATCTCATGCGGCTTTGAACCCGACATGGTATCCCATGTATCCTTGGGGAGGCAGGAGCACTTTCACTCGCCCATACCAAGACTCCTCGTATCCTGTTATCCTGCCGTTTTTATACGAACGCTGCAGCACATCCAAGACGGACTCGATGTTCTCCTCCAGTAGGGCGCGCGCCTGCCTAGGGGAGGCGCCTCTGGGCACGAAAGGCAACCCTTGGCTTATGATCGTCTCGCCGGTCATCGCGCGGAGAGACGCCTTCAGCTGCCTGCGTTCATCCGCTCTGGTCTCGAGAATCTTGCGCTTCAGCTCGGAGTTGCTCGTGCGCAAGGCGTCGCGCTCCAGTTCTCGGTTCGAATCTTCAGGATGCTTGTGCTCATGTAGCGAGATCGTCCTCTTGGTCGATTTGGGAGTGGTGAGCCAGTAGTCGAGCGCCCGCAGGACGCCAGGGACGGCGTCTTGGTTTACGTGCAGCCACTCGGGTAGGTTCGGGGTCTTGACCGACAGGCGGGCACGGATGGTCTCCATGACCTTTCGGAGACTACATGCGAATGAGTGATGCACATGCCGCGAACGTTGGTATACGCACCGTGTATAGCAGTAGCTCGGCATGATAGGCACGAGGAACATGTACATTAGCGTAACTTTGATCTCGTCGCGCACGTGAGGCTCGTCAGCGTGGGCCAGGTCTTCCAACAGGATGAGCATGCACAAGTCGCGTGCGATCGTAGCGTCATGGATGTCCAGCATCGTCAAATGGGTACGGAAAGCGGCCCGTCTTGCGCGCGGGAGCTGCTTGTACGCATCAAATATGCCCGATATCGTGCCAAAGGCATGACGTCCTAGAAAACCATCGCTATGAGCCATCACATGCTCAGTCAACAGGCCGGTGTCGCTTACCGTCCCCGACTCCTCCGAAGAGGAAAGCTAACCCGGAAAGCCTCTCTTGTGAGAACTTGTAAAGGTTCAGCGCGTCTTGCTCATTGCGAGAATCCCAACCATCCAATAGGTTGATTATGCGATCGCCTCCTATCTGTGCATCAACTATACTTCAGGCATCACGTAGTAGGTAGTAGCTGGCAAGCCCACCGAAAGGTTTTCTTTCCTATCGTCCCTTAGATGAGCAACATAGTTGTAAGCGCGGATCTTCGACTTGGAACATGGATCGTGTACGATGCTTACAATGGTTTCGAAAAGATGGGTAAACGAGACAAGCCTTTCAGACCAACGTCGCTCTTCTCAGAGTACGCCCTTACGTCGGGTGCTGTCTGGTCCCATTCCTTCCACATGAGGAGCAAATCTTCACGACTGCTACCAGAGATCGATGGACTTTGCGAGGCTGTCCGAAGCGCATTGATACTGGCGTCATTTTGGTGAAGCACGTCTTCGGTGATTGTCCTGGCCCGGACGCCTAGAGAGAGAGCCTTGGCGAGTCTGCTAGACAGGCGCACGATGAGATCTGGCTTGGGGTCAGGCTTCCCATCCAGCAAAGTCCACGCTCGAAGGATGGCGCGGGCGCAGCTGGCATAGTCGCCCACTTCGTACTGTGCGGCACTGAGGTTCGAAGGGTAAATGGGGTCGGTCGGATCGGCGTGTTGGGCCTATCATCGTGCACTAAGTTGTGCCATATCGCGATGTCATTGGTGCATATGCGTGATACACTACCTTGGTGTAGAGCTCGACAGCCCTGGAGTGAACGCGATCAGCAGAATGATCTTCATAAGTAATATAATGCGCAGACACCTTGCCAGCTGACCTGCCTTGAAGAATGCATTTCCTTTCTGTTTGTACTCTGCCGCCGTCGTGGAAGCCATCACAGTGAGAGGAGACGATTTTTGACAATGCGTGAATAAGACGCGTGGCTGAGCAGTGGATTGACTGAGACCTATGCGGGAGAGGGCGGCAGCCTGAGAGAATCGGGGGATCGGTTCAGTACATAAAGCCATCCCAGCGCCTATGTACGTAACTGGTTCAAAAGTGAGTAACTGGTTGATCCCAGCAGTGAATGCGCCATACTCGTTAAGCACTTTCGTCCATTTGCTCGCATCGATACGGCTCCGAAACCTCGACCGACAACAAGAGGTTTCTGGAGTCGGCGACCGTCGAGCTGGTCAAGGGCCGTTCCAATCTGAGTCGGAGGATCCTGAGCAAAGAGACATCCTCCACTTCGGCGTCGACGGTGATATCGAACTCCGCTTGCGCAACTACGCGCGTAGTGGTGAAGTCAGCGGAGAACGCTACAGTGTGGCTCCCTTCGTTGACCCCGGTCGCATGCCCGTCGTTCTGAGTAACCTGCATGTAGAAAGGAAGACGTTGAGAAACGGAAGGGCAGAGACTGGTGATGGTACAACCTTCTCATCTGGCAGCGTGTCTTCTCTGTCGGGCGCGATGGCAAAGCAGGCATGGACCACGGTTTGTGGCTGCTGAAGGTACCCAAACTGTTTCCGCAGGCTGCGAGTGAGGGTAAGTCTTACCCTGATACGCTGATCAAGCCCCTCAGGTCCTTCACGCGCGAGATACGTCGTCAAAAGGATTTCATCCCCGGAGCGCTGGCACTGCATCGGAGACGCCTTGAACCCGACGGCGTTCAACTCCTCTAGACATCCGGGGGCGAAGCGGAAGCAGGCCTCTCGACCAGGGCCGGGAAGCCACAACTCCACGCCCGGCTGCTTCGCGAACCCGATGCGCCGTCCCTCCCTTGTCAGAGGCTCCTGGAAGTGGCGCAGGATGTACACCTTGACAGGCGTCGGTGAGAGGAGGCTCCTGACTTCGTCCAGCGCGTCCCTGCTGATGCGCACAATGCGGAACGGCGCATGACCGGGATTGCCACAGTACGCGTGCGACGCGATGGTGAGGTTCTCCTGCCCCTCTATATTGGGGCTTTGGCAATACAGTGCAAGTGCAATGAGGGCGCCGGCGCCGTCTTGACAGCGAAGCAGGACGAGCGTGCAGGCATCGGGACGCGCGAGGCGCTCGCACTCGTCGCACCCGGCGATCGTCCCGTCCGCGTGGAGCACAGCATGCGCGATGCGGTCGTTGCGGAAGAGGAGTGTCCCGAGCAGACGGACGCGGACGCCCTGCGGGGTGAAGGCGCAGTGTAGCGGGGGCAGCTCGTACCACGGCGGCTTGTTGAGGTGCACGGCGAAGTTTGCAGGTGCAAGGGGAGCGACGTCACCGAAGCCTTCGAAATGCGTCGGGGACGGGGCGAGCAGACTGGGGAGATGGCTGCCTGGGACGCTAAACCGCGCCTTGTCGAGCGAGAGCAGCGTGCAGGTGCGTCCCCAGGCGAAGATGCTCTGGTCCGGGATCGTCTTGATGATCTCCTCCTGCAGGCGCAGGAACGCGTTCGCGCCCTCCCCGTAGATCGGGGACATGTGCACGCCGAAGAGGCCCAGGAGCGAGTACGCGCGGTCTTCGACGCGCGTCGTCCAGCGCGTGGCTGCCCAGGACATGCGCTTCGCCACGCTGATGGAGGTTAGCGTCGTCCGCCCGGTCAGGATCGCGAAGTCGACGTTGGTGATCTGCTCCAGCGTCGACGCCAGCCCGGTCTTCGTCCCCAGAAAGCGCCATGTGCAGGACAGGAAAATGACCCGCTCGGGCGCGATGAGCTCCTGGAGCGTCCACCCGCGCCGATGCCATCTGCTCTCACGGAACACGGAGTCTAGCAACCTCGGGTCCTCGTCGTCGGGCACATCTGCGAGGTAAGCATAGCAAACGTCTGCCTCACTGTACCACTCGAACATCGAGTTGATCGCCTCGGAGAGCTCCGAGCTGCTGGCCTTGTCGATGCAGCACGAGTCGATCCACACGAGCCTGTAGCCCGCCTCGCGCGCGATCCGGCCCTCACTGACGGAGTTCCAATATGACCGAACCGATCGGCTGGTTTACGAGCCTACCGTCTCTGCTGATATTGCAAACCCTAAGCAGCTCCGCAAAACGAATAATAGCACGAAGCTGGATATGAACGACAAGGTCGCATACAAGGCATACCCAGACGCAATGCATGGGAGGATGTAAGAAACAGGCCAAATGCTGGCAGATTACGCTGGGCCAAGTACAGCATCAGCGTTATGGCGAGAACGCGGGCACTGTACTCAACGCTACTCGTCATCCGCATCGTCGTCATCGTCCTGATCTTCCTCACCATCCTCAGGCTCATCCTCTGACCCGCTACTGTCAGCGTCCTGGATCGTCATCAGGTCGTTCAAACTAAGAACGCGCTAGATGAGTACATATTCACCAATGGACGGACGAGGGCGTACCAGTGCACGAATGGCCGCACGATCTGCACGATTCTCGCGAGTTCCTTTTTGAAGTCCGGCGCGAGCACCTGCTGATCGGTGAACCTGCGTTGTGGTCACAATCAGCGCAATCCCACGAAGGACGTCGTCATCGAGCATACTTGTGGATCACTGCGAACGAGCGGCACTTCAAGAGGTCGATGTCCCTGCGGCAACGCGAAGGCAAGTCAGCTAGATGCGTAGATGTTCGCGGGAGGTACTCACTTGTGCGTCTTGTCGACGCCCTTTGGCGCGACCTTCAGCTCGTCCTCGAACCCGAACACGTTCTGGCGCCCTCCCTTCGGATGTGGATGTGCGGGCCCAAAGAGCGCTTCAAACTCGGGTGCGGAGATAATCTGCCGCAAGCGGCGGGTGGAGCGTAGCAGGTTGTTTCTGTGCGATGCGAACACGGTGATGTGAGGTCTCTCAGTGATAGGCAGAGAGGTGGGTGGTGTGAGGGACTTACCGGATGGTCTGGAGCTCGTTCTTCCCGGGGCACCAGCTCCCGGCGGCTATGAGGCTCTCGCCTCCTCCTTTGACTAGAATCCTGTTGGTGAGCAGGCTGGTAGCGTTTTCAGCAAGAAGACTCACTAGCACTGTGCACACGGACCAAGTGCGACTCATCGTTAGATGCAATTCATACAATGTGGGCGATAGACGAAGCGTACACATGGTCTGTTGTGAATAATGCTCAATGAGGCGGTGGAGGGTTACGAGGGCTAGCACGAGACTCACAAGCAGCAAATATACCCTTGCGCCCGCTTCGCGAGAAACTCGCGGAGAATCCTGTCTTGTACGGCGTCTTGTCGTTGCTGAAGCGAACCTGTGGGCACGCAATAAATACCGGGGCCCTGCATGCACAGTCACATCACACACATCACGGTAGATGCGGTGAATCACGTCTTTGGGCGGGAGGTGGGGAATTTGCGGGTCGACCTCCACTAGCAGGTCGGTGAACTCTTCCACGAACGCCTTCCACTCGCCTTCTGCAAGACGATATACCGGCTCTACAACCCAAGTAGTGAGTTCAAGCCATTTGACACGACGCAGCGTCGAACGTACCATGGAGTTTGAACCTACGAAGCATCAGTTATCTAACCAACCGCTCCTATGAACCCGAGAATGAGTAGACGTACCACTCTCGATCATTGCACTCGGGTTTCTTCAACTCTGAGAGAAAATCCAGGGTATTCTTCGAGATCTGCCCAGGAGGAACTGGCCCACTCCATTCAACACCCTGCCGTTTGCGCGTATGCAAGAACGTAACGTACCTCTTCCGGTCTTCGGTGCCTGCACGACCACGCCGACCACCTCCTGTCCCTCTTCAAGCTCAAGATAGTCTTCGTCTTCCGCCTCCTCGTCCTTCGCCGACTTGCGCTTCTTCCGAGGCGATGCCCCGGCTTTCTTGGGCGACGTCTTCTTACCCGCGTTCTTCGCTGGCGCCTTCTTGGCGGTAGCAGCGGGTCGCTTGCGCTTCCGGCTTGCAGGTTTGACGTCGTCTTCGTCGAGCGCGTCGCTGTCCAATGACTCTACTTCCGACGCGTCGTCTGCGTCCTCGTACGCGTCTTCGTGAATATCGTCTTCTCTTCCACTCTCTTCGTCGTGTTCGAAGTTGTCTGCTGGGACGTGGCGCTTCTTCTTCCCGTCTGCCAACGGTTTGGCCTTCGAGCGCGTCGCGCGAGCAGGCATAGTGGTATGAGAAGACTGCTCAAAGTACTTGAACGCTGGATACTCTGTGCTGCTGGAGCTGAGAACAAGCTGTTATTCTGAAGCTGGCTGTGGCAAGACGGGAGGATGGACGACGCGACGACGACGGGGCGCTGCGCGTCGCGACATTTCGACCATTACATACGCTCACGTGATGCTCGCGTAAGTACTCATTCGCTCTCTTCTCCGGGGTTCTCCTCGCTTACTACGTGTTACTAAGGGCAGCTGGCATTTCTAGTGGCTGCTCTCAATATCTCACTAAGAGATACGAGCAAAGGGCTTCTCTAACCAACTTCAAGCAACCACAGCCAGCTCGGTCGCGCTTGTGGCGCATGGGCGGCTATGAGATGGAGGAGGGGGTGCGCCGATGATCGCGAGTCTTCTCCCAGTTCCAACTTCTCTGAGTCTCGTTGTCTTGCAGTACTGTTCGTCAAGAGCCTCGCTTTTGCTTCTGCGTTATGGACAACAATGCTGCAAAGCTGAAAGCGAAAGGAAACGAGTGTTTCAAGGCAGGTCAGCTAGCAAGGTATGACTGTACAGTACAGCGCGTCTCCGAGATGTGTATTTCTTGGCTGAGAACGCCCTTTCTCAGAGCTGTTGAACTCTACTCAAAGGTACAGTCTCTGCCATGCAATCTCTCGCGTGGATACACAGCTCAGCGTGTACTTGTAGGCAGAACAAGCCGATTCAACGGACCCAGTTTATCCCTCCAACCTCAGTGCAGCGCTGTATGAGGTTGGAGATTATGCGGGCTGTGTCCGCGCTGTCCTACGCGCCTGGAAACTTCTGGATGTTCAATCTACCTCAAAACAGGATCTCGTGGTGAAGTTGTCAAACCGACTGGCCAAAGCGCTCTCTCTGGGCGTTCGAGCAAGGGCGATATCTCAAAATGACCTCTATGTCGATGAAGCCAGCATCAAGGGGCTTCGTGCGGCCTCTGAGATTGCTTCGGAGGCAGTTAATCCCGCAACAAGAGCAGATCTGACCCGCATGTGGCAGGAATGGGATGCAACGGTCCCCAACGTGAAGGCGTGTGCTGAGCAGAACGGCCTCGCCCTTAGCAACTTATCTCGTTTGCCCCTCTTTGCGAAACCATTGTGAGTATGGTCTATGCCGTACGCTTCTGGTCCGCTGTTCGCTCTGACAATTGACCTGTACCTCCTAGGGACGATGCAAAGGAGTACTATTCAGTAAGTCCTTCAGCTAAATGTCCAAGATCGTGCCTAAGATGTGTTTGATGAGCAGATAGGGAACGATCCTATAATCAACCTAGTGGATGGCTGGGGAGCTCGCACTGAGCCCGACGTTCTGAAACTCAATGAGCTTCCGAAGGAGAGGCTTTCCGAGGTCGCGTTCCTTTTCGGCGGAGTCGGAGATGGTAAGCGGTCATTATATGATGGCCTTGATATTCCGCTCATAGCCGTGGTATATCAGGACGACATGCCTTTGGGACCATCTCGGGGGTGTTCGACGCATATGCGGCACTTCCTCGTTCCAAAAAGTCCGTATTCCGTACCCACCTGACGATGCTGGACATCCACGAGGCCGCGATCGCGCGAGACCTCTGCATGCTCATCCTGTTGGATGATCTGAACCGCGCTTACGAGCCTAACATGCGCGATGAGATCAAGTCTACACTGATGTACATGTTCCTCGCGCCCGTCATGCCGAGCTACTGCCATAGCTGGTGCGTACACCATCTTCTACATGCCATGCGTCGCTTATGAATCCGTAGTCTCCGAAAGGTTATGGAGGACGTTCGTGAACGCCTGTCGACAGACACCCCCAACCTACCCGAATGGCTGCATCTAGACAGAGACGCTATCCCCGGCGTCCTCCGTATACTCAATTACTGGCTCACCACCAAGAAATCGACCAAGACGATGCTGGCCTCGCACCATCATCAGAACGCAGAAGCCTCGCAGCAAGCCATGGAGCTCATAGCCCTGCAGACGGGAAACGAAGCGCTGCAGCGGAAGATCGAGGAATCCAAGGCCGAGCAGCGTAGGGAGATGGAGGAATCGCTGCGCTCCATGACCGACGACATGATCATGGACTTCCCGTTCGTTCCCCCAGGCGCGTCTCCCAGCCAGGCGCGCGCGCTCTTGGAGAAGAATATGGACTCGCTCGTGGACACGCTGGCGGAATCATACATCAAGGGCAGGATCACCGGGTACGAGGAGATCTGGTATGAGCGGACGAAGGTGTTCCTGCCGCCCTGGCCGTTCAGGCCAATCCATAACGGATTTGTGGATGGATGGGAGCAAATCAAGCATCCGCCGAGTATCAAGAAGTCTACGTTTCGCGAGGTGAGTCGTCGTCCGCCCTCGAAGCCAACAAATACATGACTACCATATCATACTAGGTCGCTGCTCATATTGCGGATGATTGGGAGGTCAACATTACGCTCTTCGTAGGTTTATATCCCCGCTTTCCTGTGAGCATCCCGCCAATCAGTTTGCCCCGCAGGACGCAAACCATAACAATGATGATTACCACCCTGGCGGCGACGGCTACCCTGACCTGAAATACGACGCCTTCGAGGCCGTGAGCTTCATGTCGGACTTCAACAACCGTCACGACCCCGATGCCCTAGAAAAGCCCAGCATCGGCATAGACACGGTGACGTACGAAGTCGCGAGCACCTTCTTCGAAGGCGTTGCGCATGCTATTCGAGGCCTGCGCGGGCGCATCACTGTCGAGCTCGTCTGTGGTGGGCTCTCCGAAGAGCTTGCGAAAATGCGTCTCGGAGGCGATATCAATCGTCCACCGGCCTTCCCGCGGAAGTATACGAGGATGTGGCTTAGCAACGTCCCGTGAGTTGCATAGTGCTCTGAACGCGCCTTCGACTTACGCTGAACTGGCTGGCAGGGACTACACGCATGGGCCGATGAACATGGCTGTCTTCATCCTTCCGAACTTACAAGACCACCCGCAAGCGGCTGCCGCTTGTAACTGTTTGCTCAACCTGGGCGTATGGAAAGACGATGACCATTTCTTCTACACGTGCGTTTTCACGCTTCACTCTCAGAGCCTTTCTGACTGGCCACCTTCCAGGTACACTCATCTCCTCCCGAAGGATGTCCCTCGCTACCTGGGCTGCCGCATAATCCGTCCGCACGCAGTGATGGAAATCCTCGTCATGGGCTCGCAGCCGCTCCCCCGGCCCCTCGCGGAGCTCGCTACGCGCGACGAGCTTACGACGTGGCTCACACGCGTCCTGTTTAACGTGTTTATCTCCGGGCGCACTCAGCCGTCGCCGAACAACGTGCGGCTCCCGCACAACCTCGTCGCATTCTTCGGACTCCTCATGCACCTGCACCGCGTCGGCTTCCCCGCCCACTGGCTTTCCGACTTCCTCGCGCGCGTCCTCAGCGGGCGCATGCTCTCCGACATCGCGCCATACACCGGACTGTGGCCGATCCCCGTGACCGACGGGACACGGCGTGTGCGCGCGCGCCAGGTGCGCACGGATCCGTGGCTGGTCGAGTTCGAGAACATCATCGCGACGGCGTACTACGGGATCCCCTTCTCCATCGCGAGCGCGCTCCCGGCGGACTTCTCGCGCGATCTGGAGGACATACGCGTGTGGGAGGCCAAGGTGTATGTGACGCTGCCGTTTGCGATGTCTGCAATTGCGGCCTTTGGAAACTCGGCGCCGTACCAGCCCACGACGCGCCTGCTGTTCTACCGGCCCGCGCTGGTCAGCCCGGAGGATACGGTCGAGAAGATGGGGGCTATATTCGAGGGGAAGGTCTCTCCTGTGCCTGGCTCGTTCTTCGTGTTGACTGCGCAGGAGTACGTGCAGTACCGCACTCGGGTGCGGTTCAGGCTGAGCAGGAGGCGCGTCGAGCGGATGAAGCAGGAGAAATGGAGCATGGTGGTATACCGCAACGACCTTGCCGAGATAGGTATGTTCTATCCGGAAGCATGTCCACGGCATCACAGTTTGACGGTCTTGAATCGCAGCGACAGAGCCTGTCCCGGCTGCACAGTGGGATCTGATTACAGAGAAGTAGGGTTAACCTCGCAGAAATTCACAGTTACGGACTCACCCGGCTATGTATATGGGGTCATCCGCACGCCCATGGGAATCTTCAGAAGACAGATTTGGGCGCTCACGACTCCGCCTCTCGTCGTTCTTGCATCGTTCTCATCGTGATTGCTCGAGCAGCCTGAGTATCACCTCACAAAGCTTTTTCAATCTATTCCTGAGTCACACGTCTTACTCACGTATTGTATATCATTCATCTCTCTCTGCCATGGCGTCTATGTCTGCGGTAGAGTTCAAACAGAAAGGGAATGAGTTCTTCAAGGCGGGTCAATTGGTAAGGTATGTATGCGTTATCTATGGCAATCGGGATCGCCCTATCCGGTTAATTTTGCTGACCGTATCCGCTGTAGGGCTGTCGATCTTTACACCAAGGTAGAGTATCACGTATATGCATCAGTCGCAGGGCGATATGGCATCGCTCAGTGCGATGACAGGCAGAACACGCAGATCCGACAGATCCCGTTTACCCTTCGAACCTCAGCGCCGCGCTGTACGAAGTGGGCGATTATGCCGGCTGCGCCCACGCCATCTTGCGGGCATGGAGCCTGCTCAATGGGAAGCCTGACGCAAAACCGGATCTCATCGTGCGCCTGTCTAGCAGACTTGCCAAGGCTCTCTCTCTAGGCGTCCGCGCGAAGACAATCACCGAAGACATGCTTCGAAAAGCAGATGACAGTATCAACGCTCTTCGAGAGGCCTCGCAAAACCTGTCGATCCCTGACAGCAGTCTTGAGGACCTGCTCCTCATGTGGAAGGAATGGGATCAGACAGCGCCTGACGTGAGGGCGTACTGTGAGAAGAGCGCAGACGGCCTGAAAGGCTTGTCTCGTTTACCTATCTTTTCGAAACCTTTGTGAGCATCATGCATGATCTATGCTCCAAGTCGACCCCCCGCGCTTACAGCCTTCCAGGGACGACAGGAAGGAGAACTACACAGTAATCCTGCCAGTCAGGACTCTCGATGCAATTCTTGATGTAATTTTCATGCACAGATTGGAGGCGATCCCATCATCAATCTATTGGACGGCTAGGATCCTCGAAATCAGCGGGAGCAAGATGTGCTGGACCTCAATCAACTTTCGCAAGAGAAGCTTTCTGAGTTGGCGTTTCTCTTCGGAGGGGTCGGGGACGGTAGGCGATACCCGTCTGTTGACTGAACATGCAGTAGCTCACACTTTTGGCTTACTAGGACGTCATGCCTTTGGCACCATCTCCAGGCTCTTCGAAGCATACCAGCAGCTCCCACACGCAAGACAAGCCACTTTTCATACCCATTTGACGATGCTGGATATTCACGAGGCTACGATCGCACGCGACCTCTGCATGCTTATCCTTTTGGAAGACCTAACGCACGCTGACGAGCCTCATGTCCGCGACGAGATCAAAGCTACGCTAATGTACACGTTCCTCGTGCCTCTCATGCCGAGCTACTGCTATACACGGTGCGTAACGGTATGTCGACGTTCGTGGTCTGTGTGTCGCTCATTCGTCTGTAGCCTCGAAAACGTCATGGAGAACATCCGTACACGTCTATCGACAACTACCGCGGACCTACCCGAATGGCTGCACGTAAAGAAAGGCTCTATCCCTGGCATCCTGCGGGCGCTCGACTACTGGCTCACCACCCCCAAATCGACGAAGACGTTTCTCTCACTGCACGAGCACCAGAAACCAGAAGTAGGGCACGGAGCGCTGGAGCGCACGGCCATGTCCGACGAAAGAATCATGGCTCTGTCCTTCGTTCCACAGGGCTTGTCTCCGAGGAAGGCTCGCGCCTTTCTGGAAGAGCACCTCGAAGTGATCGTGGATGCACTGCAGGAATCGTTTAGGAAAGGCAGGGAGACGGGATACGAGGAGCAGTGGTACGGGCGGACGAAGGTTCTTCTGCCTCCCAAACGATTCATGGCGTGTCATGATGGATTCGATGCTGCATGGGATGAGCTGAAGCGCGAGGAGGAGGGTATCGATGAGGCCGAGCTCAATGAAGTAAGCCGCCGTTCAGCTTTCATGCTAAGTTGAAAGCTGAATCCATACCAAACTTATAGGTCGACGCCCATATCGCGAATGATTGGAAGGTCAACATCACGCTCTTCGTAAGCTTCCTGGCTGTCGCTGTTGTTTGAGCTTGTTGATGATCGGTTAGCTTTGTAGGATGTGAATGACAACAATCCAAAATATCAACCTGATTACCCTGAGGGAGACGGATACCCGGACGTGAAGTACGACGTCTTCGAGGCCACGGGCTTCATGGCCGACTTCAACAATCGCCGCGACCCTCGTGCAGTGGACAGAGGCGACATCGGCATGGCGACACTGTCTTACGATGTCGCAGGCGCGTTTTTCGAAGAAACCGCCAACGCTTTCCAGGGCCTACGAGGGCGCCTCACTGTCGAGTTGATCTGCGGAGATATCTCGGAGGAGCTCGCGAGGATGCAGTATGGAGGCGATGTCAACCGTCCGGTCACTTTCCCGAGAAAGGATACAAGAGTATGGCTGAGCAACGTTCCGTGAGTACTCGAGCTGCATTAAAAATGCCTCTGATATATCGCTGAACCGAGTGTCAGGGACTACACGCATGGACCGATGAACATGGCTGTATTCATTGTTCCAAACCTGCAAGATGACTCGCAGGCCGCTGCCGCCTGCAACTGCTTGCTCAACACAAGTGTGTGGGACAACGATGATCAATACTTCTACACGTATGTTTCCTCTCGTCTACCGCCTGCGCTGATTTCAAGTTGACAACCCGGCGATCCACAGGTACACTCATCTGCTCCCACGCGACATCCCCCGCTACCTTGGTTGCCGTCTTACTCGCCCACAAGCCGTCATGGAGGTCCTCGCAATGGGCCTGCTGCCGCTCCCGCGTCACCTCACCGAGCTCGCCTCGCGCGATGAGCTCACGGCCTGGCTCACGCGTGTCCTCTTCAACACCTTCGTCACTGGCCGCACGAAGGACCCCCCGGGCAACGTGCGGCTCCCGAACAACCTCGTCGCGTTCTTCGGGCTTCTCATGCACCTGCACCGCGTCGGCTTTCCCGCCCATTGGCTCTCCGACTTCCTCGCACGCGTCCTCAGCGGCAGCATGCTCTCCGATATCGCGCCGTACACTGGGAAGTGGCCCATCCCTGTGTCTGACGCACGTCAATACGTGCGCCCGCGCCAGGTGCGCACAGATCCGTGGCTGGTCGAGTTCGAGAACATCATCGCGACGGGGTACTACGGGATCCCATTCGCAATTGCGACCGCGCTCCCTGTCGACTTCTCGCGCGACCCTCAGGACATACAGATATGGGAGGCGAAGGTGACCGCGACGCTGCCGTTTGCGATGTCGTCGAGCCTGTTCGCTGAGTATGCCTCGCCGTTTGAGCCCACGACGCGCCTGCTGTTCTACCGCCCGGCACTGGTCGACCCGGAGGACACCATCAAGAAGATGAAGGCGATATTTGAGGGGAAGGTGTCTCCTGCGCCTGGCTCGTTCTTCGTCCTGACCGCGCAAGAGTGCGTGCAATACGAAAGCCGGGTGTGGTTCAGGCTGAGCAGGCATCGAGTCAAGCGGATGAGGCAGGAGAAGTGGAGAATGGTGGTCTACCGGGATGACAACGCTCAGATTGGTATGTGCAGCTCGGAAGCATGGTCACCGAACCGCAATTTGACAGTCATGAACCACAGCGGCAAACTCCGTTCCGGCTTCACAATGGGTTCCGATCCGGGAGTAGTTTGTGGATCGTGAGGTGGCCTCGCGGCGAAGACTCGATGCTTGGTCGCGCGGAGTCTGACTACGGCTACGGATTACTATCGTTTTTCGGATGCATCATCCGATGTGCTCGTATGTTGCTCAACTATAATCCAGTGCTACGTCTCCTAACTTGCTGCAAGACGCGTCGCGACGCGTAGGGAACGTCTCGGAGGGGCGGCCAATTTACGTGCCAATGCCGGTGAAGAGGGCGCAGCGCAGGCGCGTTCACTGCTACTCCCTGGGCCTTTATAAGACCATATTATGCATCTGTAACACACCACTGACTAACTATCCAATATTGCAAACGCATGTTTATAACACTAACTGTTCACCGCAATTGAGGTCAGTCTCGTTGCAGTCTCGCTCATGGAGTCGCGTCTGTGGCGCACGAGCGCTTATATCCGACGCGTCGCAGCCGCGTATAAGTACGTACGCGACCTGTTCCTCTTTCGCGTACGCGACGTGGCCTCCAAAACCACCCCCACTCACTCACTCACTCACCCCCACTCAGGAATGGATCGCCAAGCGGAAAAGTTCAAACTCGAAGGAAATGATCATTTCAAAGCGGGGCGCTTGCAAAGGTAGGCACAGACCGTATCTAGTTGTTGTACACGTTTTGGTGACTTTCATCGCTGATCACCGATTGATTGTAGAGCTGTGGATCTGTACTCCAAGGTACTTATTTCATTTACGAACGAATCCCTTGTGAAATACACTACCTAGTGCATGACTGTTCACAGGCAGAACAAACAGATCCAACAGATCCCGTCTATCCCTCCAACCTCAGTGCAGCACTATATGAGATTGGGGACTATGCCGGTTGCATCGACGCTGTCCTTCGCTCGTGGAGACTCCTTGATGGAAAAGACACCAAGCCGGACCTCCTCGTGAGGCTATCGAATCGACTTGCCAAGGCGCTCTCTCTCGGCGTTCGCCCAAGGGCTATATCGCAAACCGACCTCCGTGCCAACGAAGCCGGTATCAAAGAGCTCCGGAAGGCCGCTGAGACTGCGTCTGTAGGACTCGGAAATGCCGCAGCGGCTGAGGATCTGGTTCGCACGTGGGAGGAATGGGACGCAACGGCGCCCGACGTAAAGGCGTTCGCCGAGCAGAGCGAAGTTGCCATGAGCAGTTTATCTCGTTTGCCTCTCTTTTCGAAGCCATTGTGGGTATTGTACATGTCTTATATTCCTTGTGCACCGTTCGCGCTGACAAATGGTCTGTGCCTTTCAGGGACGATACGAAGGAATACTACTCGGTAAGCTGTCAAGCTAAAACTTCGAGACAGTACTTGAGAAGTTTGCTGAGCAGATTGGGAATGACCCTATCATCAACCTGGTGGACGGCTGGGGATCTCGTACCGACCGGGATGTCCTGGACTTCAACAAGCTTCCAAAGGAGAAGCTTTCTGAGATGGCGTTCCTTTTCGGAGGAGTGGGAGATGGTGGGCGTCCATCATATATTGACTCCAACGTTTGGCTTACAGCAATAACGTATCAGGGCGCCATGCCTTTGGCACCATCTGCGGAGTCTTCGACGCATACAAGGCACTTTCTCGCACAAAGCAAGCCGTTTTCCGCACTCACTTGACGATGCTCGACATCCACGAGGCTGCGATCGCGCGCGATCTCTGCATGCTTATCCTACTGGACAACCTGAATCGCACTAACGAGCCTAAGTCGCGCGACGAAATCAAGTCCACGCTGATGTATATGTTCCTTGCGCCCGTCATGCCGAACTACTCCCACAGCTGGTGCGTACGCATATATCGGGAGTCCGTCAACGTCACTCACCAATCCGTAGTCTCCGGAAGGTCATGGAGGATATTCGGGCACGCCTGTCGACGTCGTCCCCGAGCCTACCTCAATGGCTGCACCTAGACAAAGATGCTATCCCCGGCGTCCTTCGCACGCTCGAATACTGGCTCACCACCAAAAAATCGACGAAAACGATGCTCTCGATGCACCAACACCAGAGTGCGGAAGCCTTGCACACAGACATCGGGCTCATCGGCTTGAAAACGGGAAATGCAGAGCTGCAGCGGAAGATCGAGGAGGCTAGTGCGAAGCAGCGCAGGGCGATGGCGGAGTCGATCCGTGCGATGCCCGTCGACATGCTCATGAGCCTCAAGTTCGTGCCCCGGGGCGCATCTCTCAGCCAGGCGCGTGCGCTCTTGGAGCAGAACATTGACTCCTTAGTGGACCAGATGCAAGCTTCGCACGTCAAGGGCAGGGTGACCGGATACGAAGAGCTCTGGTATGAACAGACGCAGGTGTTCCTGCCTCCCCGGGCGTTCAATCCGTCCAATTTCAACGCCGCATGGGACCAGCTGCACCGCGCGTCGATGATCGACGGGCACGCACTTGCTAAGGTCAGCCGTCATCAGCCTTTCATATAGACTTCAATACTGATCCGTAACTGACCAGGCCAACGCCCATATCGCGAATGACTGGAAGGTCAACATAACGCTCTTTGTATGTTCTCATATGCCTGCTGTCCTGAGCGTTACATTGATGAGCCGCAGGATGCCAATTATAACAATGCAACGTATCACCCTGGCGGAGACGGTTACCCTGACCTGAAGTACGATGCCTTTCAGGCTGTGGGTTATATGGCAGACTTCTGTAACCGCCACGATCCTGTTGCACAGAAGAAGCCCAGCATCGTCATGGACACGCTGACATATGAAGTGGCCGGCACGTTCTTCGAAGGAGTCGCCAAGGCCATCGGGGGCCTACGCGGGCGTATCACTGTCGAGCTCATCTGTGGCGGGCTCCCTGAAGAGCTTGCGAAGATGCGGCTTGGAGGAGATGTTATCCGTCCGCCCGGGTTCCCGAAAAGGTATACGAGAATGTGGCTCAGCAATGTTCCGTGAGTTCTTTGGTTGTGTCGCAGCGCCTTTATTTCACGCTAAACCAATTGGCAGGGACTACACGCATGGTCCTATGAACATAGCTCTTTTCGTCCTTCCGAACTTGCAGGACCACCCGCAAGCGGGTGCAGCCAGCAACAGCTTACTCAACATGGGTGTATGGAATGGTAACGAGCAGTTCTTCTACACGTACGTATTTGTTGAACAAATCCCGGCTCTTCTCACCCGTGGCCCTCTATCATAGTTACACCCATCTCCTCCCCAAGGATATTCCTCGCTACCTCGGCTGCCACATAATCCGCTCAAAACCAGTGATGGACGTCCTCGTCATGGGCTCGCAACCGCTCCCCCGGCCCCACGCGGAACTCGTCACGCGCAATGAGCTCACGACGTGGCTCACGCGTGTCCTGTTCAATGTGTTCGTCTGCGGATACTCGCAGCCGCCGCCGAACAAAGTGTTGCTCCCGCACAACCTCGTCGCATTCTTTGAGCTCCTTATGCACCTGCATCGCGTCGGCTACCCCGCACACTGGCTCTCCGACTTCCTCGCGCGCGTTCTCAGCGGGCACATGCTCTCCGACATCGCGCCGTACACTGGGGTCTGGCCCATTCCCCTGTCGGAGGGGCTCCGCCGCGTGCGTGCGCGACAGGTGCGCACGGACCCATGGTTGGTCGAGTTCGAGAACATCATCGCGACGGCGTACTACGCGATCCCGTTCACGATCACGACCGCATTGCCCGCCGACTTTTCGCGGGACCTGGAGGACATTCGGGTGTGGGAGGCGCGGGTCACCGCGAAGCAGTCGTTCTCGCAGCTGGCTGCCAGCCCGTTCTTCGGGTACGCGTCGCCGTTTGAGCCCACGACGCGCCTGCTGTTTTATCGGCCGGCGCTGGTCGATCCGGGAGAGACGACCGCGAAGATGGAGGCGATATTTGAGGGGAAGGCGTCCCCGGCGCCTGGCTCGTTCTTCGTCCTGACCGCGCAGGAGTGCGTGCAGTTTGAGAGTCGGGTGCGTTTCAGGCTGAGCAGGAGGCGCGTTGAACGGATGAAGCTGGAGAAGTGGAGCATGGTGGCGTACAGAAACGACAACGCTGATATTGGTGCGTATTTTCGAGAAGTATGTCCACAGCGCCGCGATTTGACCCTCTTGAACTACAGCGACAGATCCCGTCCCGCCTACACAATGGGTTTCGGTCATAGAGTAATCTGCGGATATTTAGGCTGCTTCTCGAGGACTTGTATCCAGCCGCAGACTCTGCCATCCATGGCCACTTGTCATCCCTGACCGGAATTAAGTACAAGCAGTACCGTTGACCACACTGACTGACGAGAACTGAGGGGCTGGTAACCTCTAATGAGCTTCATTATTGCCACAGCTGGTCATATATTTAGTGGTATTCTTCGATGATTCTGCTAGAGTCCAAAACGCAGTAGATGACCTTGCAATGTGGAGACTGGGTATTCCGCAACCTATGATATGTTCTCGGGGTCGCCGGGATTTGCCGCCAACGCGTCGGTGGCGCAAGGTTCAATGGGCGCTAACGCGTCGCGTGTACATCGAAGACGCGTCGTTTTTCTCGAGCGTCGCGGCTTGTCCTTGGACCACTCACGGCCACCATGTCTGGAAACGCAGCGGCACTCAAACAGCGGGGCAATGAGCGGTTCAAGGCCGGAGATTTCCTCAGGTGCGCGTTTACCCGACATGATGCCACGGGCGCCGTCGGCTCATCAGCGTCTTGATCTCTCCTCCCATCCAGAGCTTCAGAACTCTACGCCCAGGTGAGTACTACGAATCGAGACACAAGGCGCATTGGAATATGTCTGGCCATCATTATTCCCTCGTACTGGATCCATCCTCGAAGAGCCTCGTCATTTTCGATGCAATCGCGTGTGCGACTTGCAGGGCGAGATGGCGACGAGTACTCTCCAACGAACTTCCAACCTTTTCCGTTCTTAGGGTGGAGACTAAATAATTTCGACTGCTTTTTCCAGGCTGAAAAAGCT